TATGTAGGGAATGTATGGGGAAGCTACATTAATTGCTACTTTTCCGACGCCGCCATATTACATGAGCAATCCCTCCTCCCCCCTGGGGCGAGGTGAGATCACAAAACATCTCCGGGCCCCGGAGAACTGATCCTGCAACCCACTCTAAAAGCCCAACACAGGCACCCCAACCCACTCCTTCGTAAGCGCCGTTGTCAGCTCTTGCTGCTGTTGCATGAACCATTCGCCTCGCTCGCGCGGCGTCATCGTCTGCATCCTTTCTCTGTATCCCTGGCAGATCAAGATGCTAGAATGTGCCCTAAACCCAAACCCTTTTTCCACAGGCTTGATTAGCGCTCGCCCGGTAAACTTTAAACCCCAAACCCTAAACCGTGACACCTACTCGTGAAAAGTGTGAGGGGCCCTAAACTCACATAACCCTGAAGCTGCCAAGAGCTCTCAGATTCTCAGGCTGGACTGAAGCAGCACTCCAGGGCTTCGAGCCCTAAATGGGGGTTTCCGAAAATAGGGGACCTGAAATTGGTACCCTAAATAGTAGGATCCCTATTATAAGGACCCCCAAATAAGGTACCCCTAATTTTCGGAAACTCCCAAATAAAAACTAACGAGACTAGACCGACGAAGAGAGCTTGGGGTTTAGGGTTGAATATAGGGGCCTTAAAAATTAGAGAAGAGTTTTTGGGGAATATTACACTATAGTTACAATAGGGATCCCCAAGATAGTATAGGTAATTATTTTAAAGCCCCTATATTAGGAGCCCAGCCTCCCGAAAGACTTCCTCTATGAGCTGCTGTCGGACCACATCCGCCAGCTGCTCCTCCTCCTGGGACGTGGCTTTCGAATTCGAGGTTTGCATCCTTGTGGGGCCCTCATAAGTAGAATAGGGTTTTGGGGGGTATATTTCTACTGTAACTACCATAAATAAGGAACCCCCCAAAATAGCAGAGGTAATTAATTTATTAAAACCCCCATAGTAGGCATGCAGCCACAGGCCTCCCTGCCCCACATCTTGTCGGGAGGACTTCAAGAGGAACCCACGAAGATCGATCGCTCAGTCTCCTCTGTTTTCGCTCGAGTTCATCGCGAGCCCAAGCCAGCAGTGCTGTTTGGATCGCCGGGCTGATAGAGCCGCTACTGTGGAGCACAAGACGCCAACATCCAAACACTGACATCAACGTCATTCCGGACAGCGGAATCCTAAACCCTGAACGTCCAAACGCTAAGTCCCTGAACCCTGCGAAGGCCGGGATGTCCTTCTTGCTCCACTTGGCTTCGTCGACATCGAGACGAAGCTTTGCCCGGAAGATATCTTTCCTTCCATTGGTAGGCAGGAGCATGTCAGGTGGCTTTGCTGGCCTTATCCGCCCGTAGTTTCCCTCAATGTGCACTTAGTCTCATGATGATGCAACGTCTTTTCCGAGAACCCTGGAAAGTACCCACCTATCCACCTCGCTCACCTGACCTGCGCTACATACCAATAGTTCACTACACTATCCTACATGATACGATGCGATATTTTCTTGCGCTCTTCTTCACTATGACATACACACATGCATAGGTATATGCACATGTACACATATGCATATGGGTGTATACATATATATGTATACGTAGACATACTTATATACTTATACATATATACATATATGTAGACTTACATAGTATGCTATGTATTTCGGCATGTCTATTCTAAGATCTTAGCACATCACAAAGTTTGCAGGCTCCTGATGGTGTGCAGGTTCTTCGGTGGGACCCTCGCCCTCACGGTCTTGTCTGCCAAATGGCGCGGGTCCTCCGACGCAGGGGTCAGGAGCTGCCTAGAACTCACGGAGATTCATCCTTGCCTGGCCTGGCTTTAACAGACGTGTCATGCCAGTTGAAAGTCTTTCACATAACCCGTATATTTATTATATATATATATATATATATATACACCCTTTGCCCTGAATCCTAGGGCGCTGCAACCTGAACCTCAAATCGATACCCTAAACCTCCACAGTTTGGGTGCGCCTCGAAGAGAGACCGTGGCAGCTCTCGAGTGGGACGAGGACGAGGCTTGATCTTGTACCTCATGCTGTAATGTAGGAACCTGATAAAGAAACCCTGGGCCTATAACCCCACAACAGTAATTTGGACTCATATAAAGAAGCCTAATAAAGGCCCAACGTTACTTACTCAGGTTCCTACATTACTGGACTACCCAAAATGCTACATTCGGGAGTATAGTACATTGACGTTCGAACATGTGCGGCTGAGCTCTGCTCCACTGATATGCAGTTGATCAGCAAAAATCTCAGGAATCCATGATATCTGTTGCTGACATCACACCGATGCCCAAGCTCTGAAGCCGCATGCACCAGACGCTGCTTCAGAGGCCGGCTAAAGGAAATTCTTATGCAGAGATCCTCACAAATACGAGAAATAATCCTTTTCCTGCCAATAGGAGCCTGGAAATAGTACAGCTTACACACGGCCAAGCCCCAAACCCTACACCACTAAACCCACCAAGGGTGCTCGATCTTTTCCCCTTCGTAGCCTTTCCTTCTATCGCTCTGGAACTTCAAGAGCGCCTGGCCGATAGAGTTTTTGAGAATCCCGGGTCCTTTCGTTACGACTTTGACGTGGTTTTAATTTCTTATATTATTGCAACTATTACTGCCATTACTATTGGGTTTATAGTTTAGGGCTTTGCTGTTATTTTATTGCAATTGTTATTGGTGTTGCTATGAACCAAAAGCCTTCTGCCTTTGCCCCGGTCTTGACAGAGGACACTTTGGTTTCAGCTTTCCGACCTCCTGGCTTGCCCACGCGTACACAATTTGGCTTCAAAAATATGGGGCTCTTGTTGTAGGGATGCGTTTCCTAATTCTAAAGTGACCATTTAAGGTATACCTTTGAACTCCCCGAGACAGCTCAACCGCGAGATACCAACAAGCAGCTGGCCGAGTGGCCTCTGGCAACCGATCCGTGTTGCCGTCGAGACGAATAGCCAGAGGGTGGCTTTCCCAAACAACTGGTTATCTTGAGTCCAATACTACAATCCAAGTTCTCAAAAAAACAAACAACTAGCCAACAGCAATCATACGGCACATCCAACACAGGCTTTACACTGGAAGTGCCACAAGCCTCCTTTTGGATGTGCAAGTCTTTGGCTGCACGGTTTTTGACACTGCGGGTGCTTAGTTCCAGTGCAAAAACTGGGAGACCTGGTCCTCAACACTAACACTCCTATGACAGCCTGTGATTCGCGGGCCTTGGCTATAGAGGTCTGTAGATGGCGGTTCTTCTTGACCCGCGACAAGGGATGCGTCGGGTCCTGGTCATGGTGCGCAAGGGTTCTTTGCCAATTGATTCTTTGATGCCACGTTGTTAAAGACCAAAAGCATATCACGGCTGCTAGCAACACTGTGCCTGGCTCAGGACAGCGTTCGCCGCTCAACCACAGAGAGTCGTGCTAGAGAAATCACAACAAGTGTGAGAAGTTCGGCTCAACACCTTCCAAACAAACTCTCCGTATAGAAGGCTCGATACTGACAACTGTTCTTCCCTGATGATAGCCCCTCATATGGGTAGTTGTCAAGATTATGGTCCCGTTTTTGGGTGCCGTATTACATTAAGGAAAACAAAAAGGGACTCTAGTTTTGACAACCACCCATATAGTACGCCGCAAAAGCCCTCTCCTCCAGGTTTTCGGAATCGGAATCCTCCACCCAAGCCACGAGCTGATCGGCTCCGATCTTTGGCCGCCCGGGCTTCCCTAAGTGTCGATTCCGAAAATTAAGGGGTACCTTAGGTTCCTTTAATGGGCTACTCTAAGGGCTTCCTTTAAAGGGCTCTATCAGGCTTTAGAGTTTCCCAGCAGCCTCAAAAACATCCCGAATCGATTCGGACCCAGGATCCAAAAACAAGCCGATAAGGAAATTCAAAACTATCCCCAAGAGCCTACAAAAATGCCCACACAAGGAAAGTAGCATCCCTAAACCCTTTTGCAACAAGCTCCCCTGAACACTTTTTGCAACAGGCTTGCGACCTTGGGCCCTAAGCCCTAAACTCCTAAACCCTTCTTTAAAAAACCGTACCGAGGCCCATGAACCCCTTTCTAAGCACAGACTTGCCCATAAACCCCTAACCCCCATAAACCCCTAACACCTAAACCCTGAACCCTAAGGTTTTTTTAATCACAAACCCTAAATCCCTGTTTACACCTGGACTATGCATATGCCAGGAACCGAGGCGCCGACTGTGCTGTGGACTCGTGCCACACGGCTACCCTAAAGCCCTTTTTTTGAGCACGGGCTTTGGTTGTATGCCGGCAAGCTGAGCTCTCAAGGTCTTCATGAGATACCAGCAAACTTGAAACTAACTCATGTCAAGAGAAATAACTATGTACCCTAAACCCCTAAGCCCTAAACCGAGTTTCGCTTTCCGGAGCCCCAGCCGATCGGCAAGGCCTCCACTTTCACCGTGGACTCCATGGCTCAAGAAACCAAACATCTTCTGAAAGCTGTCTAGGGCTTAGGCGTTTAGGGTTTAGGGCTTGGGGATTTTGAGGGTTTAGGGGTGGAGTTAGAGGTTCCGGGTTGAAGGTTCAGAAGTTTCGGGTTTTAGGGTTTAAAACGCCTATGCCCTGTTTGGCATTTCTAATCCAATTTTTTACATGCAGAGGTGATGTTGAGGAACAGAGTTCGGCCACGCTTCTCAGCATGCGGCCTACTGCTTGCAGCTTGCGCGCTGAGACTGCATGCAGCATCGTGCAGCCATCAGTGCGTATAGAACTTAGTCATGCGACATCATTTCAAGCATCTGCTTTCTCATGAACGGTGCTGGAGCACGTCTCAGCACAACCTCTCACGGCGGCGGCGCCCACAGCTTTGCAAACATGTATCTCCAGCTCAGAGGCAAGATTGCAAGACCGTTTTCTATCATCACTCTTCGCCTGTCTCCAGCCATGCCACCAACCCATGCAAGCCCCACGAAAGCAACCAGCTGTTGTTCGCGCCTCCTTCGGCAACGGCTGGCCGCCAAAGACTCCAGATGCCTGGCCACATCCCCTCTTAGTCCAGGCCAGGGCTGGAAGCCAGACTACGATCCCAAACAACTCGAAACACCCCCAAACCCAAGCCATGCGCAGGGCACCCAGCAGTCCAGAACGTCTCGGAGAATGGCCTGACAAGAGCCAAAGCTTCAGCCTACCAGTCAAACTTGATTGCTGCTCGCAAAAACTCCATGTTGGGACTCAACAAGAGAAAACCTGAAGGCCTTCTCCTCCACGCAGATGCCCGTGCTGGAAACCTCCCAAGGCAGGCTGAGATCCACAGAAAGCTCGTAACCGTCCTCACAATCCTCACAGCTGCAATTGGTCGCAGAAGCCGGATTTCAACGTTTGTATCGTTGCACCGGAGGAGCAGCCACGAACTTCCACGAACACCTCCCCGTCACCTGACTGCCCGGACTTATATAACCCTGAATCTTCAAGTTGAGTTTTTGAACCCATATCCTAAAGCTCTAAGAACCCTAGCACACTGAGCCAGGCACAGTAGATTCGCCGGGGACGACGCAACGGATTGCAAGGAAGATTTTCCTGGGCTCTGAGGCATCTTTGCAGGAGGAGGTTGCAAAGGAGGAGACGTGCCTAAAAAAGGGCTCTTCAAAACTCACAGAAGCAGAGGTTCCCTTCCTCTGGGTTCTTGTATTAAGGATCCTACTTCCATTCAGAATAACGAGTGGGGTCCGCTAGTGTTTGAACCTTCCGCGGCCTTGGGTCCCAAATGACTGAGCCCGTTATCTTATACCATATTATAGTATATTATACCATATTAGTATAGTATACCATACTATAGTATAGCCTTTCCGACAGTGCCTACGCACGTGGTGATCAAACGTCGAGGATTCCCGCCATCACGAGATGCACACAAACACTACTCCATCTCACGCGCATCATGCGAGACCTTTTGCTAGCTTCTGCGGCTAGTGCTGGGCTCCTTGTTTTGCAAGGTCAAGTGCAGGCTGCGTCCTTCCGACTGGTTGAGCTCTGATTAAGAAATTCGGCGCATGGCACGGCCGCGCATGTTGTCTCTCTACCGCACAGTGGAATCACGCTGCCCTCATACTTTACAGCGATGCCATAACCGAGGCATTTTCCAGGGAATCCGACACTTCGAGTTTGAGCTCTGAACTTCCCGCAACCCCTGACGAGATGGAAGTTTCCGCAAAGTAGGGGTGCCTTATTTTGGGGTCCTTATAATGAGGGTCCTTTGTTTGGGGGTACTATATAAGGGTCCCCTATTTTCGGAAACTCCCAGATGGGATTCTTTGAGCATCTTCAGCTGCCAGGGCGCCGGTTCAGAGCAAGGACCCTCAGAATGTCAGGATTAGGGTCGGGGTGGTTGGGTTGCATCTTTCGGGCGTAGAAGGTTTCTGGAGCATTAATGAGAGGGTTTATAGGGCTTCAAGAAATTGATTTTTGGGGCTTACAGCTGTGGAGGAAGGGTTTATGAGGTTTGGCCTCGCATGGAAACCTTCGTTGCAGCAGCAGACTTTGGAGAACCCGAGAATAAGAGCTTGCTCACTCGATCGCAGTGAGAGCAGCCCTAATCCAACCCTAAACCTCACTAGTGAAACCTGTTATCATTATGTCCTGAGCCTTCTACCCTAAACCGAAACCACCGAAATGCTGAAATTATAAACCCGATTGGGCGGTTGTTGCTACTTCCAATCGCCGACGGTGCCGTTCGAGACGCGGCCGTCTTTCCCAAGAGTGCGTGTGACCGGACATGTTCAACCACCATGCCAAGACTGCGGAGTGCTAAAAAAACACCTAAACACGAAATGAAGCTAAGTGCTTATTCAAGGCCCCTACTTTGCCCGACATGATACGAACCCCGGCTTACCAAGCAGAGACCCACCCGAACGGGACAAGATGAGAAAAGCAAGTTGAGCCTCTTCTCCTTGCTTCTACCATTTGTCTTCGGCTTCTCCTGTCCAAGACGACCGACTTCAACATACATAATCACATCACCAAAGAGTTTCACGTCGAACCGTGGCCTTGTGGTCCTTCTTGACTTTTGCCTTGGCTCTCGTGTCGCGGATCTTCGGGCTCTTGACCTTTGGTATCTTCGGGCTCCTCGGGATCCTCTCAGCAAGAAGATTGGGAACAAAAGCCCCACAGACCTCAAACCCCTATGAGCCCAATGACTCCCAATAGAGCCCTTAGGTATTTCGAATATAGTAGAAAGATGGTGGGGGGTCTAGGTCAGCCCCAAAACAGGGTCCTCGGGCTTCTTAGCGCTTTCTTCTCTTGTGCCATGGCCCACCTGCGCCTGAATAGCGTCGCTTGGCCCCGCTCAGTGTGGCTATGGGCAAACTACCGGAGTTTCAGAAAACAGAGGACCTTAGTGTAAAGCCGTAGACAACCGGATCCTTAAATCATTGCAAGGGGGACCCCGTCGTACACCGAATATTTGCTTCCTTATCATGACTACAAGACTCCAATAACGAACTCCTGAAAGATTCTGCAGAAACCCTATACGTCGATACCTTTTCTGAGCTTTGACATTCACCCTCCGGGCTGCGATCCCCCTACCATACTATACGAGGAAAGAAGTGGCGCCGCTGAAAGGAAAATCGCATTTCTCGAATCCTTGGCCCAACTGTCGTGGAAGCAACTTCCGACTTCCACGGCATAATCTTACGATATCATAGTAGTATCTATTCATGAAGTCTGTATATGCAATTACATACTCACATATACTCCTTTGAAAAAGTGTATTAGTATAAGTATAGTCTAGTGTTATGTAACATTACCGCTTCCAGCCCCCCCCCCCGCCGCCCACCTCGCTGCGCGGTGCAGGCTGCCCCCCCACCCGCGCTGCGACGCAGCTGCGGCAGCAAATGCAAGACACAAAAGGGTGGTTGTCAAAATGATGGCCCCTTTTAGGGTACCGTAAATATTCGGTGCCGTATCATAATAGGGACCGACAACCATCCAAAAGGATCTAAAGACCACGCCGTCAATGCAGGACGGGAGCGAATACTTGAATTCCACAGAACTTGGCACTTCATTTTTAGCACTTCGGCAGTATCAAAGCTAGGCTGATCAATAGCTTGGGCTAGCGAGTCCGGTTGCACCCGCTGTATAGCCCCTCTATAGGAAAAGGAGGCCAACTTGGAAGGTGGGCCCGAATTTGGAGGACTCTAAACGCATCCGCGCGAGGTCCTTTATCGAAGCCCTTCTTGTGAGGGGCTGACGACTAAAACCATGGAGGGGGGCACCGGCATCAGTGGCTTTGTTCCGAACCAATGCCGAAATGTACAAGTGCCCAAGACTGTTCTGCTTGTTTTTCTGCTGGCTGCATCGGCACGCGTGGCATGTGCAGCCCGAAAAGCGCGCCCGGCCGTGGGCAGCAACCCAAGCAGGCTGAAAAATCGCGAATTACGAATTCTCCTCCACCCGTTGGCACTTTGCCTTCGAAGCTATCAGCTAAACCTGAATGAATACCCTAACCCTTTTACACCTGGACTACGCATACCCCAACCCTAAACCCGAACTCTCAAACCTCCCTAAAACCCTCAACCGCTAACGATCTATACATTAAAAACTATAGTTATAATCAGGAATCCTCAAGAATTTAAGCCCCTTGAATGCACACTTTATTGGGAAATTGAACCCTAAACCCTAAACATCCCCAAAACCCTAAACCGCTAGGACTCATACACACTTCCATAGGAAATTGAAGGAATGAACAGCCTATGTTACACCCTAAACCCTGAACACTATATCACAAACCCTAGACAGCTATACGGCTATATACACGCTTCAATAGGAAACCCAAACCCTAAAACATAAACAGCTAAGGCTCTCTACACACTTCCATGGGAAATTGAAGAATGAATACCCCAAACCCTTTCTCTGGCTTTACCCTTTTCCACAGGCTTGATGAGTGCTCGCCCGGCCAGAATAAACCCTAAACGCTTAACCCTGAACCCTAAGACTTTACACCTGGACTATGCATATGCCAGGAACCGAGGCGCCGACTGTGCTGTGCACCCTAAGCCCTGAACCCTATAGTCGAAGCCAAAAAGTTGGAAACCCAATAGCCTCCATCCTTAAGAGTAATGTATAGGGAATCCCAGCACTATTTGGCCTTAATCCGGTTTCCAACTTTATGGGGTTTATTGTAAACCCTATAGAACCCTAAGCTTTCTACACACTTCAACAGGAAGTTGAAGCCATCGGTGGAGGTCCAAGAGGCGCTGCGAACGACTTCGCCGCTCTATCGCCAGATTCTGCGACAGTTGAAAACTTCAAACATTATAAATTCGTATATAACGGTATAGGTATACAAGTTATATAGTATTTTCAAAGTTTAAAGTTATGTAAGCCGAACATAAGTATATGACTACCATTTAAAGCAGTCAGTCCGATAGCCCGGACAGGAGAATACGCTTCAGCTGATGCCCGATGCAGTCCTGGCCACATGCTCCAAAACTGTGGCAGCTTCAGGCTAGGGTCTCCTTAGGATTTTTGTTTTAATTTTTGTTCAACAAAGACCAAAACATCACCAAAATGATCACCATTACTGTTTTTGTCATGGTTCAAGGGTGGTATAGCAGAATTCTGAACCCCACATGGTGGGATCTTTAGCCCTAACACCGCAGTGCACATGCCGGAACCCTTTTGTGAGCAGGGACTGCAATGCAGCAAGCCCTGAATCCCTAAACCCTGAATCCTCAACCGTGGACGGTTTAGGGTTTACGCTCTGGCAACTCGGACATGCCTCAGGGTTTCGACGCTCACACTCGCACTTGGCAGGTAAAGATCCACATAGTCCACTGTATCTCAACTTAGGTTTTTTTTGAATGGCCCTTTTTCGACTCGCAAGGATCCCGAGAAGCGGTTATTCCGCTTCAACTCAGGGTTTAGTTGGCACCCAAAGAAGGCCTGTAGTCTCGAGAATTCCTCACATGTACCGGTGCATCTGCTGGTCCTCTCCCTGGATGTCACAAAGACAGAAGGTGGCACGTGCCTGCAAGCCGTGTCAACTTGTGAGGCCTTCTATCGGGTTTTGTCCGCAATCTGTGGAAACTTAAAAAAAACATCTGTTCAGAGTTTGCAGCTCACATTTTGCAACATCGCACCGTTCCCCCCAACTGTCTTGCTTCGGCAATTCGTTCGTCGTTTTGCCTGCCACCTATGCCCCTTCTCTTCGCAAGCTTGGCCGCACTGGTTTCACCCACACGGTGCAAGTTTCCCAAGTAATCTCGATCACACTAGTTATGCATCACTCCAGTATGGCTCGCAGCTATCGGCAACATGCGTCCAAACAAGACCCTGACAGACGTCAGTGGAAGGCACACCTCTGTAAACGATCACCGGATTTGTAGGACGTGAGCCCGTAATCTTGATTCGGAAGAGCCTTGAGAGCTGTCCCAGAGCCTCTTTGACCGCCCTCAACCTGTATGCACCAATCTGAGTCTTCGGCACCCCCAGCCTTTTTCACGGTGTCTGCTGAATCTTCGATCACGAAAAAACAAATTACGATCAGGATCGGGGCGAAGATCCATAGACCTACCTGAGCTCTGAAGGATGTCGGCTTTGTATGTTGAAAGAGGTCGAGAGTTTGGGCGCAGGGACCTACATGGATTGAGACGTCTTCTGGATGGTTGAAGTGCTGGAAGGTCTGTTGCACTAAGGACGAGGCGATGACTACTCGCCATGACCCATATAATGCTAGCCAACTCCAGAGCAACTGTGAGGCTGATGTGGCTGATGCGAATGGAAGCCATGTCTTGTCGTGTGGCCGTCGAGCGTGTCCGCTTCAGAATCCGGTCCACGAAGGCAATGGACCAGCCGTGAATCGGCTTGCCTCCGTGACATGCAGGTGCATGGACACGACACGGGACGTGATACACATGTGACACATGGGAGACAAGGCACCCTACTTGCGGCACTTACTTGAAGGAACCTCCCCTGAATTCCGCGAAACTGGCGACGAGAGGCATCTTCGGAGAAGTGCTGCATCTGTCTCGGAAGCGAAGGCCTCAAAGAGCCTCTGATGCAAAGGAGTCCAACAGCACTGGGATGAATGAACCGCGAAGCCCTCGGCCGGAAGCTGATGCCCTACGTCCATCCCATTGCCTCTGTCAAAAAGAAACCACAATCTTTTTACCCTAAGGCTCCATAGTAGTTCCTTTTTGGGGTGCATATTTAGAATCCTATAGGGTAATCCCAAAAAGGAACTACTATGGAGCCTTAGGGTAACCACAGAAACTGTTATGCTGTCTGGTCCTCTCCCTGCACAGGTTCCGGGCTGTCCAGACATGAACTTTCCGGCTACGCATGCGAGCTCTGACGATTCTCCGCGTTGCGCTACTGTAGGGGCCTTAGTAATAATTAGAACCCGTTATACCACAAGTATAATAAGGCACCCCCAAAATAGTGTAGGTAATTATTTATAGGCCAGTATATTACGCGTTGTTGTCCGGCATTGCTTGGGTCATGGTCCAACTGGCTCGAGCCGCATCTCATCCACCGTGACAAGGAAGGTCAGAGCCAGGCTGTTCCTGGGTACTATGGAGGCCTGAGTAATTAGAATTGGGTTTGGGACTACGTGGTAGTAGACAGATAAGCCAGTAATTAGAATTGGGTTTGGGACTACATGGTAGTAGAGAGATAAAGGAAGACTGTGAGGAAGCATAGTCGAACATTCTTTGGCCGTTCCCGGGCAATTGGCCACGCACGCTCTTGACAACAACGTGGGCCCCTTCGTAGAGGAAGTCGTTTCACTTCCGGCCATCTCCCCTCTCAGTATCGCTTCAAGTCCCCCAAAAACCTTAAAGGAACCTTAAAACCGGGTACTTCAGAAGGCTGTTGGGAAGCTGGAAAGCTTTGCCTGCTGATTTGCCAAGCTTCAGGATCAGGTCAGAGACGTTCCGGACAGATAGGAGATACTTGATTCCTTACAGGTGGACATCCCAAGCAAACCCTAGCAGCATGACCCTCCCAATACCCGATCCAGCGCAAAACTGCTTCTGCGGCTCCAACATAAAAGATCAAGCATTGCAGCACCTGAAGCAATCATGAGCTGAATGCAAAGGTCTTGTTTGAGTTGCACAGCAGCGGCATAACCATCGCTCAGGGAAACGAACTGGGAAAAAGTCTCGGGTTCCCAAAAACTCGGACATCCAGAAAAAGGGTTTAGTTTACGGGACGAATTTGAGTTTCCTTGTGAGGTTTTCCGCCAGGCACCGACCGCGGTCCCAGGTTCAACAAGATGTTTATGATGCGGCTGCGACCTCAGAGCGAGGCTTGCACATGCGCCACTTCTTCAGCCTGATATGAAGGGAGAACGTGCCGAAGCTTACATTCCAGAGCGCTTTCGCGCGTGATGGTTTTCTTGGAGGGTGCTCGGTAAGCCCAACAAGAAGCAGGGATGCTGACAAGGCCTGCAACACACCAACCCAAGGCTCCGACGATGGATGCCACACACCTGACAGAGGCAACGGTGCCGCGGTCTCTGCACCTTTTGTGCCACATGCGATCAAACCTCCGCCACATGTGGATCAGATCAGCACAAGAGAGCTCCTTAGGCCCACAGGCTCTGGCGACATTGGGTGGCGTTTAACTGAAGGATGCCCTGAAAGGACAAACTCCTAAACCCGTCGTAGTAAGCCGTATACTCGTCCCGGTGAAACCCTTTGTTCTACTACCCCTTACGCCTCCAATTCGTCCTCACCGTGCTCATCTTCGACCTCCCGAGGGGTACGATCTCCCATATAGTAAATGAAGAATAGTAGTACCACTACAAACCATGACAATAAGCATAATATTATAGGGTACGGGCTGGTTCAATATAACTTACAGTACTACACGACACATGGCATGCTATAGTAACGAGTATAGTACGGCACCATAGAGCATGATAGTATATGTACTACCATGGCTGTTTTTTACTATCATTCACCATCGTATTCTCAACGGTTAGTTCATAATAAATAGTAGAATATAGTAATGTCATACACCCTGATACACATATATACATAAGCATAAACGCTTCCATACATGTGATTACAAAACCACAAGCAAACGCAAACATGCAAACAACATGGAATGCTGTCACATAACTTGATGCAGTATGACATGATACAACGGAAACAAGAAATACCATAACATACATATACTGTTGCGAGAACTGTTGCGAGATTGTATCATCTGAATGGTAGATTATACTAAAATGCAATACAACAGAATTTGTAATATAGTAGAGCGCAGCCTAACTGGCTAATAAGATATCGTGCAATATGGAGCAGGTCATACATCGCAAAGAAGTTACAGAGTGTGTACTATATAAGACAGTGTACTATACATAGTGACATAGTATATACGAGTATCATGTAAAGAAGATGCCGAGTGCTGCAGCACACTTAGAGACAGGGCTATTCCATGCTATTCCAGCACCGAGCAAGCAAATCTGACGGCGAAAGCCTGAAAAATCGGCCTTCCCCGTCACGCAATGCTCGCCCTTCGGTCGTGTTGGAAGTGTCAGAAGTACATTCCTTACAAGCGAAGCCACTGATGCTTAGCTTGTCAAGTCCATGCCCAAGCTGCTGCGCTAAGCCGGGCGTGCAGCAAAGACTCCACCAAATCAGGATGAGGCGGGTCTCTTCCACCGCCGCAAGGCCCCAAAGGAACCTGGAATTCGAAAGGCAATATTGGGCCCTAACAACCAACCAGTCATCATAGGTCATGGCAGGCTCCAAACCCAACCTCCCTTGAGACTGAAAAGCTGCATTCAAGGAGCACAATCAGCAGCAGGAACATGCGAAACTTCATGGAGGTGAGGCCGAACTTCGGGTCATTGTACAGCGTGCTCGCCTCTTCAACAAAAAGTGATTGTAGGGCGTACGTGTGCTTTTTTCGGGGTAGTTCAGCGGCTCCCGGGCATCGGGGTCGGTTAGGACCCCCGGGTTCCAAGCCCTTCTCCTGCGGCTATACAGCCATTTAGTTTACGATATCTGACGACGAGAAATGTACAATTCCCGCGAGTGTACCTTTTCCTCCCAACCAGACCTCTCTCTCTCCCTCTGCCTGGCATAATATAGGAGCCTAAACACTTAGAATAGGTTTTTGGGGTATCTTGTACTATAAGTATAAGGAGGAACCCCACAATAGCATAGGTAATTCTTGAGGCCCCCACATTCGACCTCCCGGGCCAGAAAAACCATCTCGCTCTCTCGTCGCTTTGCTCAGGGGCGAGGGGAACGGGGAGTCCGGCGCACACCGAGCACACATCTCTTGCGTGCTTGCTTGCTTGCCGGATCTTGCCGGGCGTTTGGGGTGAGGGAAAGCGGGTTCCCCTACCCCTGCGCGCGAGCGCCACGCCTGAGTCCGTCTCTCTTTCACTGAGTCCCGCGCCTCCATCTCTCCCTCTGTCTCTTTGTCTCTCCGTCTTTCGGCGAAGCAGGGGCTTCTTGGGGTTTAGGGGTTTTGCATGTGTATGCGGTAATGGGATCCCCAAGGTTTAAATTTGCATGGGTTTGAACACTCGCAACCCGGACTCGCCAGACGAGGTCGCTCGGTACGTGTGACACAAACGTAGGGGCTCTGAAGATTACCCTTTTGCATGGGTTTGAGGATTTACGGCGTTCAGCGAATGCAATTCCAAGCTTTCACACGTCTACCTGATTGTGCCGCTTAGAGGCAACTGGTAACTAGAGAGCGGGGTGCTTGGAGGGTATCGAGGCTCAGGCAACGACGAAGCAATAACCTGGACTCTCACACTGGCGGCAGGCAGGGCTTCAATGACAACAGGTAACACTAGCTTCTTCCACTGCAACACCAAACGTGGACTTCCAAGCGACATCAACCTAACCAGCCGAACCGGGAGTTGGCGTCTCAAAATCAATGGTTTCTTGGGTTGCAAGGCTGGGTTGCTGAAATCCAATGCCCTTTTACACCTGGGCTACGCATATGCCAGGAAACCGACGCCCTAAACCCTAGCCCGAAAAAGTTTCAAGACCTTTTTAGACACAAATTTCCAGAGGTAGGATGAGCTCCTGATGGCATGACTGTTTTGCATGGGAGGACATTAAAATTTAGGGATGTGCCGCATATCATATGCGGCCGCGAGCATCTGCAGCCCGATCTTAATCGTAAGGACGCCTAGAGTCCGAAAAGTTTTCGGGTTTCGGGTGTATGTAGACCATGAAGCCAGCCCTCACCCCGACTTGTAAGCGATGCCAAGCGCCTTACAAGGATCTTCTTCCTCAACCCTGATAACCCGCGAAGCCCTCAAACCAAACCCCAAGAATCCTGGAAGCCCCAAGTGGGAGTTTCCGAAAATAGGGGACGCCAATATAGCACCCTAAATAGTAGGACCCTTATTATAAGGACCCCAAAATTAGGTACCCCTATTTTCGGAAACTCCCAAGTGGTGCGATGAAAGGACACATCTAAGCCTCCCCCCGGCTGCACCTCGTAGGCCACCGTCCTCCTCTTGCCTTCCTGTGACATCACGGAAGGCAAGATGCATCATCATTCGCCTTTCTTAATTTCTTCCCTCTCCGTAAGACGCAAGATGAACGGAAGGGGGACAGCATGCTGGATCCCGCAAGCACGGCAGGCGTCGGCAAACTTCGGCACTCCTGCCTTACTCCTAGAAGCACCTGAAATCGGCTGAGCCATTCTGATGCCATTCCCTCGCGGAAGCCCTCACGGCGAAGTGCGACTGTTTCGCGTGCCATGGCTCGATTCGACTCGATTTGGCTCCGCAAACATCGCTCCGTTCCTTGGTTTCACTGGTGTGCGATGATGGGCCAACTCGCTGCTAGCCCAACTTGCCTGCCAGGAAGTGACTTCTCTCACCTGCTTCTGCCAAGTTGCCTCCTTGAAATGGTTGGTTTGGATCGTAAACAGCTTTGGGCAGAAAGACGTGACGGTCCGTCTGCAGATCTCCTCCCAGGCACTTGCAATGACCGAAGCCTTCGAGGCATGGTCCGAATCGATCGAAAGGCTGTAGAGAACATTAGGTATCATGTCTAGTACCACTATTGTCACAAAAACTACTATTACTACTATAACTACTATTACTACTATAACTACTATTACTACCATTGCTACTATTACTACTATGACTATGACTACTATTACTACTATTGCGACTGTTACTGTTAGGCAACTCACAGCCCCGCCAGAGAAACCCAAGAAACTGCTGAGCAAGCGAGCGAGCAGTTGCAGCAGCAATGCTAGGATCAGCACCGACGCACAAAGACGATGAGGTCGACTATGAAAACGACCATCACCACACCACTACCACTAGCCCTACCACCATCACCACCAGATCACCACCACTACTGCGACTACAAGTGCGAATGCCACCATGACTACGACTAAGACGCCCATGACGACGACGACGACTACCACTTGCTACTGCTGCTGCTGCTGCTGCTACTACTACTACTACTACCACAACAACAACAACAACGACTACTACTACTACTACTACTACTACCGCTACTACTACTACTACTACTACTACTACTACTACTACTACTACTACTACTACTACTACTACTACTACTACTACTACTACTACCCGTTTTGCGTGTATTTGACGCCATGCTTTTCCTGCTTTTGGGACATCTGCGACTTGGTTTCAGGGCCTAGATATACTGGTATTTACAGCATTTCCGTGGTTATTCGATTTTATCTCTTTAAAGAAGGACCATGCAGACCCGAGCGCCAGAACGACCTAAAATACAGTCATCATCATCATCATACTCATCAACATCATCATACTCAGGGCCTAGATATACTGGTATTTACAGCATTTCCGTGGTTATTCGTTTTTATCTCTTTAAAGAAGGACCATGCAGACCCGAGCGCCAGAACGACCTAAAATACAGTCATCATCATCATCATCATACTCATCAACATCATCTTACTCATCAACATCATCATTGACCTGGGGGGGGGTGGGGTGGGGGGGGGGCTAATCGCGAGCATGTTTGACATCATCATCATAACAGTAACATTCAAAACCGTCAAATTCATTGTCGCCATCAACATCATCATCACGGTGATAGACAATATCATCATACTCATCAACATCATCATACTCAGGGCCTAGATATACTGGTATTTACAGCATTTCCGTGGTTATTCGTTTTTATCTCTTTAAAGAAGGACCATGCAGACCCGAGCGCCAGAACGACCTAAAATACAGTCATCATCATCATCATCATACTCATCAACATCATCTTACTCATCAACATCATCATTGACCTGGGGGGGGGTGGGGGGGGGGCTAATCGCGAGCATGTTTGACATCATCATGGCATGACTTTCACTTGAGACGATAAAACCCACGATTCAGGGCGCTCGGCTCACAACGACATGCGCATGCGGAAATGACGTCCCTGCCGTGTGTTTCGGACATGCTTGCACCAAAAAACACAGCGTCAAATACACGCAAAGCGCGTACTACTACTACTACTACTAGTACTACTACTACTACTACTACTACTACTACTACTACTACTACTACTACCTCCTACTCCTACTCCTACTACTACTACTACTACTACTGCTACTGCTACTGCTACTGCTACTGCTACTGCTACTGCTACTGCTACTACCACTACTACTACTACTACTACTACTACTACTACTACTACTACTACCACTGCCACTGCTACTGCTACTGCTACTGCTACTGCTACTGCTACTTCTACTTTTACTGCTACTACTACTACTACTACTACTACTACTACTACTACTACTACTGCTACTGCTACTGCGACTGCGACTGCTACTACTACTACTACTACTACTGCTACTACTACTGCTGCTACTACTACTACTACTACTACGCTTCTGCTGCCACCACCATCACTACCACTAGCTAGCACAGCTGCTTGTGCTTTTTCTGGCTTTCTCCTACTCAGTCTACAAATAGCAAGGAGAATTAACAAACATTGCACTGAAACATTGCGGATAGTTCGGCGTGTGGGGTCTCCACAGTGTTGATGTCGTTCAGCCGGTCGATGCCCAGTTCTTGGAACAGCACAGGCTTGGAGAAAGGCACCGAGTTGTTCCAATACAGCGGCATCCTCAGCGCACACATACACACACACACACACACCTCTCCAAAAAAAAAGCTGCAAGTCAACGCAGATGTGCGACAGTACAGTCTGCGAAGACCGAGACTCTTGTCACCGTCAGCTTCCACACTGCCACAAAGATCTGGGTCCTAACAGGTGAGTCTGCGTGCACAACCGAAACTTGAGCTGCGTGATCTGAGGGTTCCGTATGATAAATACGGAGTAATGGGCCCCAAAACCCTATTTTAATGATTAAGGCCCCGAAATTACGCCAATGCGAAGCCAAGTCACCGGCAAGAGGCAAAAGGCAACGAATGGCGCGAGCTCTCTCTCATACAAAGCCTGGCAAAGCTGACATTTCGCAGATGGCGCATTCGCCCTGCATTAAAGACGCAAGGTCTTCCAAGGGCACGACAAAATGGGGGTTTCCAAATATGGATGACCCGAATATAGTCCCCTAAGTAGTTGGGTTCTCATTATGACTACCCCAAGATAAGGTACCCTCGGAAACTCCCGAATGGGTGCAATGGACATACTATAAACGTCTTAATAATTAGAATAGGGTCTTGTGGCCCATTCTACCATAATTATAAAAAGCAACCCCCAAAATAGTATTGGTACGTAATCATTAAGGCCCCTATATTGCGAGTGTGAGCGAAGTGTCTGGCATCACCGGCCTTGGGGAAGAAAGTGAATTCCCGAACGCAGGCTGCCTGACCAGCTGCAAACATATGTCTGAACATGGGGGTTTCGACTTGACGCTCACGCTCGGCAATACCAGGCGAGGTCCTGAGAGAGAGATAAAAGAAGACAGGTCCCGTGACTTTGCACCACGATCAGGGTTGATTAATAAACACGGTCTTAGGGTTTACAGGGTTTAAATTCCTGAGAGTGACACAGACGGCGAATAGCTTGACAGTTGTGGTAACTCGCACAACTGTGGACACGGACGTCTGAACCAACCTGTCTGCGTGTGTCCGACTGTGTGTCTGTGAGTCTGTGTGTATGTAACACACGTACTATATATAGGTATGTACGCGCGTAAGTATGTATGTGTGTATTTGAGTGTGTTTGTGCTTGTGTACGTGCATGTATGTATACAAATATGTATGCGCATACATGTACATTTGGTTTCTGCATATTGTAGTGATCCTTAGGATATGTATATATATATATATATACATGTCGCAAACACGAAAATATACATACACAGTGATCAACATGCGTAAAGAAGTTGAAGTATACGGCTTAAAGAGTCTAAGAGGTAGGGCGGCGCAGACCTCAAACAGTGAATGAGCACTGGGCATTCCAAACCGTCCAAGCCCTACACGCGCAGGAACCATTCCAGGAGCACCGCCGAGACTCCCACTGCAGAGTCTAAATTAGGCCCCACTCTGTGGCGGGAACATGCGCGATATCGGGCAGGCAGACACGCAATGTACGGCGGGAGGAAGACGATCCGCAAACAAGATGCACGCGACATGGTGGGAGCTCTGCTGTGTCTCTCTCTCTCTCTCTCTCGCTCGCGCGCTCTGTTGCTTGCACGCAGCCAGAGGTAGGTCAAGACCCACCCCGCGCACGTGTGCGCACTGGTATGGGTTCGTGGTGAGAATGCTTCCCCCGGTTGTGCGAGGCTCCGGCTTGCGCTGTTATATCCCCCGTATTAAGTAGAACACTATGGTAACTCTCTCTCTCTCTCTCTCCAGATGGTTCGCACGGACGCTGTAGCAACCTGTCTTTTCGACAGAGGACTTTGTGAAAAGCAAAGGAGCGCTCGGCACTGTGGCAGGGCCAACATGCACCACGTCAGTTATGCAAACAGGTACAACCACATTATAGTAATCAGCTCACACAAGGCGGCTTGCGCAACTGTCCGCAAAGCATCGGATGTACAGATGGCGCGACAACATGCGTCGAAGCAACAGCAGAAGTCGCACCTGACTTCGGCTGCTCTGCGCTTCTTGGACACAGCTCCTGGCACGAGGAGTGGTTGCGGCTTCCGTAAGAGATGCTGCCCCGGCAAGAAGTTCTCCTATACCCTGACTCTGGCTTCCCCGGTTGCGCCGGCTGTGTCATCTGGTCTATGGACACGTTGACCGGCAAATGGCCAATTCCAGCCAGCGTCAGACTCGTAGTGCCGCCCCCGCACAGACAGCAGAGCTTCTCCAGATGGAAGTCTGCATCGTCGAAGCGGTCATTGCCACATTCGCCAAAGAACGTCTCGTAATCTGCACAAGTGGACCCTTCCTTGTCGAGGGCCCCCGCATCCGTGTCAATGCACTTCGGCAAACTGCACTTGAATTTCCGATCGCCCACGGACTTTTGCAGCTGACTTTTCTTGACGTAAGATGTATCGTTGTCATCGAAGTACCATACCAGGGCAAGGTCGCCACTATCGATGGCTTCAAGCCGTGCATCATACCAGAAGCCGTCGTCGGACCAGAACGCTTCAAGCGTATCGTTGATTTCACATGGTAGGACCAAGCCATCAGCATTAGCTTGGAAGGCTTTGAAGACCCTTTGATACCTTGGAGCAAGGGGGGTCGACAAGAAAAAGCGAGAATGCAGGACCTCCGCCAGCATGCATGCTAGTCCCAACTTGACACACGCTAAAACCAAACATGCCAGACGCTTGCGCCAAACTCGGGCAAAATGCACCGAAGACATGTCGACGTGTCGTCTGGTCGCGCTTGCATATTGGGCATCCAGCCGCTCAGCCTCGGGATGAGAACCCCGAGGAGATCGGACCCACTGAGCCTCGGACTCTGCAGCAGGAAAGAGCCTCGTCATAAGTCCACTGACCATCCTTAGTTGCACAAAGTGGTTTCGCAGAAACCAAATGCAATGGCAAGGCTAGTGATAACGTAGAGGAAGACAACTCTGAATCGAAGGTCCCCGTCCAAGTCCAGCAGGCTGAAGTTTGTCAGCAGCACAACCTTGCTTGAGCAAAGCATAGGGGCACACAGCGACATCACGTTAGGACCATCTGGCACTTGCTGAAGGTGTTCCTGTTCTACGGCATTGACAGTTCAAAAAACACGTTTCACTACAAAGGTCCAAACCAAGTGGGAGTTTCCGGAAATAGGAGGGAACCTTTTATAGCACCCTAAATAGTAGGACCCTGATTACAAGGACCCCAAACAAGGTACCCCTAATTTTCCGAAACTCCCAAATAGAGGCGAAAGTCGCTGAAAACATCAAGCCAGGTTGCCTCATCGGAGGAACAACTCAAGCCGGATCGTCCAGGGTTGTAGGGCCCATCGGTTGCCGTCACCTCAAAGCCTGAGGCAAAGATGCAATATAGGGGGCCTTAATAATCCGCCGAGGCCACAGGCCCAGGCGTCTTGGGGGTTACCTCAACTTTTCTCCAGTTTGGAGACACCCGTTTTTTGCATCGTTTGCCCGCTTCCCAGGCCTCCCTCCCCCTCCCTTCCCCTCCCCCTCCCCTCCCCGAGCAGCGAGGTCGCGCACCGGACACTCAAAGGTGGGTTGAGAGGCCCTATGGTGTATACGACATCCACTGCCCCCTCGCCCTGCCGCTACAGAGCCGAGGCGGGCGGCGTAGCGTTAAAATTAGAATAGCGTTGTCGGGCCCGTTATACTACAATTACATAATTACAGTAAGGAAGCCCCAGAATAGTATTGGTAAGTAGTTAGGCTACTGCATTAAGGGTTTAGTGGGGGTTTTGCCGCTCAAAACTCGGACAATTGAGGCGAGGCATGTCTCTTTAGTTCGACGGCACTGGCAACATGCACAACTGGAGAATTTGCCGTCGCCCTGCTGAGGGGGGGGATTCATGTGTGTGTGGAGTTTCCACATGCAATCTTTGCAGCAGAGTGTGATTTTGAGTGGTTGCGATTCTCCTGGTTTGAACCACCTTTGAGCTTTGAACCTCTCAAAAAACTTAAGTTCCATGCACAAGGCGCACAAGCTCGTTCCTTCGCCCCCAAAGCGGTCGAGCAGGACCACATCTGCATCCCGCTCCTTGTGTCAGCTTTGGAGACTCTCCAACTTATCGAAAGCAGTCGTCTGAGATTAGGGCTGGGCCTATGTAGGGTGCAGGGCTTATAGGGCTTAGGGTGTTATCCATCCTCCGCTCCTAAGAATTGCAAGACTGTGAGCAGCAGCCCTCAACAAGTTTTCCACTTGCGAGGTGCAGTGAAAACCCAATGCTGAAAGCCTAGCCCAGGTGAAAGCTAGCCCAGGCGCAGATCCGTTAATCTTCTGCCACAGCAGATACACGACGACATATTGGGCAAGGAAGTTGAGTACCAGCAGCCACCAAGGTTTCATGTAGATCCGGCCTTAAGCTGCATCACACAGATCTGCAGCACCAAACTCGCGTCGCGCAGTGGATGTTTCTATATTCTGAATTCAGCTTTCTGTTTGACATACTGCGACCTAGCTCGTACATCATCATGAGCGGAAGACTCATGAACGCGACCCCGCCTGTATGGCTTTTGAGAAACGATAACAAGAAGTTATCGTAGGCTGATCGCGCGAGCTCCTTAGCTACAACCGCATGAATGCGCAGGAATGTCCCAAATTCAGGGCATCCCATCGCGCGCAGCACGAATTGCATCCGAAGTGACGAGGTCGGTATAGCGTCTGCATTCAACAAGGAATGACGGAGTAGCTGCAGTTTGGCCTCTCTGAAAATTGTATCTGCAAGAGTTGACCGGGGACTACCGACCAGGCACCTCTCGAACAAAGTGCCGAGGATACATCCTTTTAGTCGCTTGTGGTCAGATTCCTTTTGACCTGCTTGGGGGGTGCTTCTCGTCATATCCACAAGACACCCGACAATTAAAGGTCCAGCAAATCGTTGCGTCACTTGATGGCAACGTCTCCGCTCCGGTCTAGCCCCGCCTGATTCATGGGTGGAACCGCTAGCGACGCTTGCATTGGCATCTTGATCTTCTGCCATCCTGCTAGCCACGACGCAGAGCCTCACACGACGCCGCTGCTGTCACAAACTGCATTCTAAGTTCTCGACAACCAATGCCTCCAACAGTGCTTCTTTCGGTCGCACAAGTGGCGCAGTAGTGTGGTGCCGCTTGAACCAAACGGACTGCAGAAACACAACCAGCAAGTTTGAATCCAAGAACCTGCATCCACTCTCGGCCGTGGGTCAGTGTCTCTGGCACCAATACATGCATGCATCGTCTTGCTTTAACATGCAGGTTTTACAAGCACAGGCACAGTTTGCACGTACATCGTTTTGAAGTGAAAACATTTATCTCGTTGATAGACTTGACGAACATACACGAACAATATATAATTCAACGTACCCCTGCTAACTACCCAATCGGTGTATGCCGTGTAAACGTATACACGGTTCCAGATTCCAGCCATGATTAAAAACTAGTCGTAGCCCAATCAACTCAACACTGTAACACGCACACAAGAAAAACTGAAGCATTGCGACAATCCATTCGTGATGCTTCGTGCGCTTGACTCAACAACTCATCTTCCAGCATCTCAATGAACGTCGAGGCAGCTTCCTTACCTCCCTCGAAAGTGCGACACCGAACCACTAACTAGACTCGGGAGGCAACTCAGAGTATTAGGCTCTAAGGCAGGACCAGACGGATAGCCACCTTGCTACATCGCCTACAGACTACGACCTGCAATCATTTTGACCGAGGTTGACACGCAGCACCGATACCCACTCAACAGAAGCTTGCAAACAATGACGATGGCCCTTTTTTGCAACTGGGCTTGGGGCTAGCTCCTAAGCCCTAAACCCGTTTTTGTCTCCCGCTGCTTTCGGTTCTTGCGCGCTGCATCCTTGCGCCCAGCGTGGTCAGCCTCGCCCTGCCATCACTGCAGAGGCGAGGCAACCCTGCAGTCCGTGAGGCCTTGAAAGAAAGCAGAAAGTACCATTGACATATATATATATATATATATTTCTTTGAGATTCTCGATTATAGAGTCGGAGCCCCTGACACTATAAGCCCTACAGTATAACCTTAAACGCGGCTTCTTGACCCAAACTCTGCTCTGGAAGGCTGAGACCATGGAGAAGCAGCCCTAAGGCCTGGCCCTGGCGAGAAAGGAAACGTAGAGCAATGACGTAATACAGCTGCCGGGATACTTACCAGACTTGCCAAGACTTCTCCCAGGTCCCAAAAGTACTTGAAGTATTTGAAACGACTTTAACATATTGTTACAGGTATTATGAGTAACTGTACTTAAATATTCTGTAATAAGTATACGATCACGTACCGCAAAACCCTGTTCCCCTGTCGTACCAGGTAAGGCCTGGCAGTGCGACTGAAGACCTCACAACTGTGCTGGATCTAAGGGCGGGTTTAGGGTTTTGGGGTTTCGGGGTTTCGGATTTTGGGGTTTAGGGGCAGAAATAAGGAAGGGAAGGTCGGTTCGTTGGCCGGGTTCTTTAACAGAGGAATCCTGCTTCTTCTGTTCGGGGGCCTGTCTCTGTTAAGGAGTCTGCTTTTAAAAGTTTGGTGTTCGTGAGGGGTCTTGCCTGTTTTGAAACTCCCAAATGGAGCAGGCTCATCATGCCATTCTTGCCTGACTTCCCAAAAATTATCTCCTGAAACTCAAACAGTGGCAGCCAGAAGCTTTATCGAGACGAGCTTGGACCACCGCGGGTACAGCCCTGTTCCCCTGAAGTTTTGGGTCCATTATACAGGCATGCATGAACAGAATCGGGTTTGGGGATGCAGTATAGTATGTATACTTATGCTAGATCGGAAGTATAGGCGGATAGCAGAATAACGAATTATTGAAGCCCCCTCTGCTCACTGGGGGGCACTGAAAGCATCGTGAGCGGCTGCCTTCTAAGTTGGAGTTACTGTATACTACAATTCGTAGATAGTAGAGTGTCGCAACGAAGTATTGTACACTATAATGCCTTATCGTCTAGTTTGGTGTGCACAAAGCTAGGCACTGCCACGCTAGTTTCCGAGTCAAGGTCCAGGCCATATGGTTTTCAAACCCACACTCGGGCAAGCCCGGCAAGGTTTTTTCAGGGCTTTAGGGTAACTGTAGGATTTAGGGTTCAGGATTCGTTTCGTGGGTCTTGTTGATTGACCCAAGCGGCAGAAGCAGCACTGACTGATGCGAAGCTCTGCCGCACGCGATGCTACAGAGACTTTGGTCGAGGATCCGGGTCCTGTGTGGCTCCTGAAGACAGGCTAGACTTGGAGCTTCATGGGTAGTTCTAAGTGGGGGTTAAAAGTCCCCTAATATGATTTCTAGTTACGGTTGCCCTACTTATAACTCCACTTATGTTATAACTACCCATGAACCTCCAAGCACCGTATACCATGTATATATATATATATACTAATCAATATGTATGTGTATATATATATATATACCTATATATACCATACTACTTCAATCGGGCCGAAACTCTCGAAACCTCTACCTTCCCCTCCGGAAACCCCTGGCGGAAGCTGCTTGGAGCCCGGCGGTGTAGCGCAGCCTCTCGGAAGACCGAGGCTTCGTTTCAGCCTGCAACAGATCCGGTGCTCTCGGATCGGATGTAAGGTGATGCATCTTCTATCCCGTAGGCTACCTGCTGTATTCATGTATGCGAACAACATGCAGCTGGGGTCTGTTCGCATGTTGCAGGGAGAAGGAACCAACTCTGAGCCCAAGTTGTGATCACGTGCCACAGCGTCACCTCAGCGGCCACATCTTTGGTAGCCGATGCCTGGCCAGGGACTCTATGCAGCCGGTCCGGTCTCTATGCAATCCTCACAATACGAGGACAGCAACCCTTTTTTGCACGGACTTGTATATGCTCGCCTGGATGTCGTGCTGTCCTAAACCCTCAACCACATGGAAAAGGTATCTGGGCTTCCGGGGGTACTGTTTCGCATGCGCCAACAGCCCGACATAGGACAAAACGACTGAACAGCCTCACAAACAAGTGCAAATAACTGGTAGTTAAATATCAACAAGAAGGACCAGATTCTGCGTGTCAACTTGAGGACGGCACATCTAACTCCACTCTGTCGCCGGAGTTCGGCGCCCTGGCGGGAGATGCGGGAGTTGAAACAAATCGCTGGTCGCGTCTATTCTATAGACATGCAGGGGCATGACTGTTGTGCACCAACAACAGGGACAGCAACGCCACTTAGCAGACTCAGCGACTTTCTCTACGTGTCAATGCGAGGTTGCTGTTCAGAACGACGTCTGTGGCACTTGGCTGACGAGCTAAGATAACACGAACACTGTAGTCCCTTCTTGCAGACTGTCAAGCAAGAGTCGGATAATTAGTTCTGGTGAAAGAAAATACGATTATTAATTACCACGACACCCTAGTCTAGTCAATAGGACCCCACTACTTTACGGAAACCTACTTGGAGGTTCATGGGTAGTTATAAGTTTTCAGTGTGTTAGAAGACCACTAAGATGGGTTATCGTTATAATTACCTTACTTACAACTCCACATATAACCATCCATGAACCTTCAAGTACTCTAGTTTTGAAGGCTCCCGAGCCCGGCGTGATCCCGTTCGGGGCGGCGCACAAGGTGGCAGCGTGCTGCTGTCGACTGGGACCTGGCTAACAAGGCAACGATGTTGTATCATATTCTGTATATTGCATCGTATTTTCCATGTGCAGAACATGTTTATGAAGATGGATACGTATGTGCAGAGAGAGATGTATATATATATATATATAAACATTGTCTACATATGTACACACATACAGACTCATGTACACTCTATCAGAGACATCAGGAGACAAGCTATACTTCGAATCGTACTGCCACCATGCTCGCTGCATCTCGCTTGGCACATTGTTCCGAAAAACGCTGAAACTCGGTTGCAAGCCAGTCTGTCGCGACCCAAGATCAGTTTCAAAGGCACTGACAGCCGAGCTTCTGCAAGAGGTACGTGGTGAAATTTCCTGCCGCATCGTAACAGCGTCGCGGATCTTCTTACGTTGAGCACCGACCGCAGTTTACGACATACGTCGAAGACATTCTGTAGCCCAAACCCTAAGCTTAAAACTCTAAACCGACAGAAGGGGTCGACCTCCCAGAGATAAGCATGAGTGTAACACAGTGGACTAGACTGTAATCTGACATCGCATACTGTAACTTCATCGTATATCCTCTCTCTCTCTCTCTGCCGATGCGTTTAGAGGGTCTATCATCGCATGTTGTTAGTGCGATTTCGCCTGTCGCTCCCGGCCCCGGAGCCTGAGCCAAGTTGTCGGAAGCTCCTCTGCACCTGTCGCGAAGAGCCCCGGATGTATTTGAGGCACTTTCACCCGGACATGTGCAGGCAAGGTCCGCGAAGCGGTCCAAGTTTAGGGTTCGACGACCAGGACGAAGGAAGGATCGTAAATCTGAAAAAACAGCCCCGAAAAGGTCGAAGCATAGGTGCGATGGGTCGATCAACTCTCGCCGGGGTTAGGCTTTAGTTAACTGAGGATTTAAACGTTGAAACTGAAACTCCAACTGGAAGCACTCAAATCACTCAGACCGCCGCTGGTGCTTTTCTAGCTGATTCTAGCTTTGTCTCAATGTCTTTCCTCACGGCAGCGGAGATGATGCTCGAGCTTCTCGGTTTCTCGTCGAGGCCTCTGTGAGCATTCCCTCATTGGCCCATGGACATTGAGCCCGCCGTCGCCGTGCCAGACGGCGATGGCATGAAGTGACCGGTGATGTGCTCCATCCAATGTGGGGAGTGCGGGGAGTCAGACCCCATGCTCTCTTTCTTGGGGGACGAGATGGAATCCTCCGCTAGGAGATCGGAAAGATCCCCAAGCGTAGTAGTGGTTGACGTGGCATGGGTCTCATCTGTGCTCGCTTCCATGATCTTCGCCGGGCTTTTGGGAGTGATTGAATCCTCGGCTAAGAGATCAGAAATATCGCCCGATTCCACGGACTGAGGGCTTTTGGGCGTGATTGAATCCTCGGCTAGGAGATCGGAAAGATCGCCAAGCGTAGTAGTGGTTGACGTGGCATGGGTCTCATCTGTGCTCGCTTCCATGATCTTCGCCGGGCTTTTGGGAGTGATTGAATCCTCGGCTAAGAGATCAGAAATATCGCCCGATTCCACGGACTGAGGGCTTTTGGGCGTGATTGAATCCTCGGCTAGGAGATCGGAAAGATCGCCAAGCGTAGTAGTGGTTGACGTGGCATGCGTCTCTGTGCTCGCTTCCATGATCTTCGTCGGGCTTTCGGGCGTGATGGAATGCTCGGCTAGGAGATCGTCCACGACTTCTGGTGTTGTTGATGTGTGGGTCTCTGCGCTGACTTCCATGGTTTTGGCAGGTGAAAGGGAATCCTCGGCTAGAAGATCTGCGACATCCTCAACCGTCGTCGTTGTGGTTGAGCTTGCTTCCACGATCTTCGCCGGGCTTTCGGGCCTGATGGAATTCTCGGCTAGGAGATCGTCCACGACTTCGGGCGTTGTTGATGAGTAGGTCTCTGCAGTGACTTCCATGCTTTTGGCAGGTGAGAGGGAATCCTCGGCCAGAAGGTCTGCGACATCCTCAGCCGTCGTTGTTGTGGTTGAGCTTGCTTCCACAATCTTCGCCGGGCTTTCGGGAGTGATGGAATTCTCGGCTAGGAGATCGTCCACGACTTCAGGTGTTGTTGATGTGTGGGTCGCTGCACTGACTTCCATGGTTTTGGCAGGTGAGAGGGAATCCTCGGCTAGAAGGTCTGCGACATCCTCAACCGTCGTTGTTGTGGTTGAGCTTGCTTCCACGATCTTCGCCGGGCTTCCGGGTTTGATGGAATCCTCGGCTAGGAGGTCGGCGATGTCGCCCATTGTCGTCGATGTGGCTGTGGTCTCCATGTACGTGTCCAAGGCCTTCGCCGACTCCATGGCGGGCGTCGACTCCTCCGAGGCTGTCAGGGTGGCGGCGCCCTTAGCCTTGGGACTCTCCATGATCTCCGACTCCTCAGTCGGCATTTCGCTGCTCTTCACATCAGCGCTCTGCGCGAGCTGGCCCTTCTCGCCGGGGAAGGTACCTTCATTCATGCCGACCTTACGCCAAAGTGCGGTCCAGCACTTTTCCTCCAACTCCGGACTTTCTGCCATGGACTCTCCGAACTGCCTTGTTGGGTCGCAAATGAGCTCCAAATCAGCCTTGGCATCCTCCACGATCTGTTCGATAGCAGGCTCCACCTTCGCGTAGGAACCGTCGCCATATGTCCACACATCGTCGAATGCCACCACCATGAGGTTGTATTTCGAGAGAGTTGGCTCCAAGTTCTCATCAAGGAGGATGAGCTCGTGTGCTTTGGCATTGCCTTGTGCACTCATCTTCTTCATCATGCTCGCTTCCTGCCGAATTGTACAAACAGCTCAGCAAAGGAACCGAGCACTTCACGTGTAAGCAAGCTCCCGTATCTGCGCAGCCTACATCTGAAAAAAACCCTACATAGCCACTGCCACTCCCGAATAGCACCCTTCGTACTCTCTAAGCCATCACTGGGCCCGTGTCCAGAGCGTCGATCGCATTGAAGAAGTCCTGCATTTGGGGAAGACAGGCGTATCCCGTACAACCGCATGGCAAACTCTCAAGTCGACCTCGCCTCCTGCTATCAGAATCACAGCAGGAAAACATGGCCGAGGATTCTTCTCTCCAGGTTTGGAGGAAGCCGGCTTTGCGGCGAGGTAGTGCGGAATTCGAACGAGCTCGGTCTTCTTCGGTGGCCATCTATTGGGGAACTTACTGGGAACTCCCATGTACAGTGTGCAAGCACTCCTTTCGTCACGACATGAGGTAAACCGTGCAAGGCACGACAAAAGTTGACCTGCCCCCGCATGAAGGGGATGCTGGTTGACCACATATGATAAAACCCACGGCTGACCACGAATTGGCGATGGTGGTTGCTGACATTTCTTGAAACCAGATTTCAACATCACAACTTGGTCTTCATAACAAACTATAAGCCCTTTTCAGCGTGAAAACCCAGAAGGCGAACCGCACATGAACGTACGTAAAGGAAGCAGCAGAAGCGAAACCAGCAAAGCACAAACAACTGATTACAATGCCAATTGCAAAAGCCCGACACGCAAGCGCAGAACATCACAAGAACGACGGGAAGCATAGCAACACCGCGAAAGCAAAACAGCAACAACCACTAGAAGCAGAAAGCAAAGAGCAACAAACCCCAAAGGAGGAAACACACAGCCGAAAAGCGAAAGTGGAGGTCGAGGAACACACACACACACACACACACCTACACCATCCCGCACGTAATGTGTGTACTGTATGTATATGAACTCCAACGTATCTCATAGAACATGCTTTACTACATACTACATGAATAAACAAACAAATAAAGTCAGTATATGTTCAGCGGGGGCCTCCCCACGACCATTCGGGCCCGTGACCCGCTGACCCCTGGACATATGTGTAAATCAAAACTAGAACCCGAGCCTGAGCCTTCCTAATTAATATGATATGATATAACCTGATTCAATAACATGCAACACGATACACTGCAACATAATCGAGCAGTATTTACTATTATATTAAATGAGATCATATAGTATGATGTCATATCATGCAAGGCAATATAGCATGTTCGTGAAACTTCATGTAGAGCAGCACATTGCATGTACACACATATTCCACTCACATATATATATATATATGTTTATATAAGTATATATGTATAGATATAAATACATATGCATTAAAGGTATGTTGTCTGTTTCATAATACCAGTACATGACATCAAGTACATGCCAACAATGTATACTTTGTCCTCCACAGCCGCTTTCAACTTCTGAAGCAGCTCTGAGCCTTGGAAGCTCGGAAAGATCGCCAATAGCCGTGCAAAGGAATCAGAATCTGGCTTTAGGGCGTATCTGTAGCCGAAAAGACCTAGCTTTTTGGGCTTCCATATTGTGGTTTCTATATATAGTTCCCTAAAAAGGTAGGTCTTTTGAGCTAGAGGTAGGGCAAAAGCTTCTCTTGACTCAGGGAAGGCGAAGTCTTGCATCGCAGGCTGGTTCCGTATGAAAGGGTGCAGCTTTCACTCTTATGGTCTTGGTGGTAACAGGATCTCCTCAGCTTCTGCTCCGCAGAACACACCGAACCTCTGAACTGTCGTCTGTTTCATCCCTCCCGTGAAGCTCAGTATAGGGGCCTGAATCAATAGAATAGGGTTTGGGGCCCCTGTATAGTTTACTTCATAACCGGAACCCCAAGGAATCATGTTGCTAATTATTTAGGCTTCTATATTGGCCTCACCCCCACCTTGAAAAGTGCTTGCAACCTCCCCAGGTCGGGTGAAGCTGCACCATAAACCCCACAACGCCAAAGCCACACCGCAACACCAAAACCCCAAAAGCTGCATGCAAAGGTCTCTGGGCCCCTTTGTCGTGAAGAGCCTGTGCTTCCTTTTGCTGACTGGCGGCCTGCGCATCACTGGTTCAAAGCAAGGCTTCGAGATTTACAGTAGGCCTGGGACCTACTGAGCGCTTAGGCTGCAAATACATAGAGCCATATAGAGTCCTTTGAAGGTTCAGGCTCAGTGGTCTCGGACCTTGTGCCAATCACATCATAGTGATTGTGTGTGAAGTGTCGTCACGGCAGTATCCACCTCCATAAACACAACTCCAAACCCAAGATCCGATCTCCGCAACCAGGCCTAGTGATGCCCCGTATAGGGCAGGGGGATTCTCCCTTAGATTCTCGGATCTGATCCATTTGGGTGCTAGCCACGGGGATCTTCAGAAAGGCTACCTACGCTACTTGTTACAACCGCATCCTCTAGACTCTAAACGGACGCTTGGACTCCTCAGCATCTCAAACACGAAGCTGGTGCTGTGACTTGCCGAAGGACAAAAACTGTGTTCGGAAGCAATATGTGGGAGTTTCCGAAAATAGGGACCCTGATACAGTACCCTACAGTAAATAGTAGGATCCTTATTACAAGGACCCCAAAATCAGGTACCCCTAATTTCCTGGAAACGCGATCCTGCGTCACACCCTGTTCCCACCCGAACTCCATCTGACGTCGCCTCTTTCTGCTCCATCTCTGCTTTGACGACCTCGTCCACTGCTTCCTCTGCCTTTGCCCTGATCGCCTGCAAAGCCTCCAGTCGCAGCGGGGCTTGGCTCCGGGATCCATCGCTATCTTCGGAGTGAGGCATAAGTCGATCGCAACAGTAGTGACAAACCTGCATGTTGCCGTTCTAGGTACTCGTCGCCGCAACAACGTGGTAGTAATTGCGGTGGTGGCGACGGCGATAGCGGCTGTGGTGTCGTCGAAGCAGTAGCAGCAACGGTGGCAGGACTAGTAGTCGTAGCAGTGGTCGTCATCGTCATCACTTTAGGGGTGGTGGTAGTAGTAGTAGTAGTAGTAATAATAATAATAATACTAGTCGTAGTGGTATCAGCAGCAGCAGCAGCAGCACCAGTAGTAGTAGTAGCGGGAGTTCAGAAGTAGGCGTATGCAGTCGTAGTCGAGAAACTGACACACCGTGTCGGCAAGACTGAATCCCTCCACGAAGGCCCGAACGCGAATGCGAGCACGAAGATCCGACTCGCCTCCGAGCTTGTCAGAAACTCTCAACGGGCGATGCCTCCTGCGCTTGCTGGGACCTCTTCTCGGCCTCTATCAATTGCTCTTCATACTCCTTCTTCACTTTGCCGGCAGCCTTGACCTGATGAAAGGAGGGAAGGATCTCTAAACGAAGCAGCCAGGGAGTTTACCGCTGAGGGTTTGGACTCTCGGTAGCTTATCATGGCTCCCGGTTTCGGAGCTCACACTCGGACAGTTTAGGGCTCTCCGACTGCGCATTATCGAATGCCCCCGGCGCAGTGCAGACCGGTCTTTGCTGTGCTCTAGTCCAGGGATTTGCCACCGAGTGCATCATGCCCTATCCGCCCAAACGTCCGTGAACAGCCAGCTGGACCATGAACAACCCTAAACCCCTAAACCCTAAACCCCTACACCCTAAACCGTTAAGCCTCCATAGCATGGCAGTAGAGGAAACAAAGAAGCCCTCGTTGCCTTGTCCTCCTTCTCTTTCATGTCCAGCTCAGCAGCTGCAGTCTCGCTTTCCTTGTCTTCCACCTCCTCGTCGTGCCAGGGAGCTTCAGCAGTTTTCAACAAAGCAGCATGCCTCCAGGTCTTGAAGGCAGAAGTCAAGAAACTCAAACAATATCACACACTACAATATTATAAAGTCTGGTATGGTGACGCAAACCGCGGATATGACTTAGAACAACCTAGCACAGTTTTTTATAATGCAATAAAATGCAATGCATTATGGTACAATCTACGGCAATACCAGATAACATAACGTAGGACAACAGAATACAGCATAAAGAAACATAGCATAGAGCAGCATACCAATCTCAATGTCTACTTCGCACCTCACGGAATCCCTGCAACTCCCCTCCTCGACCCCCTCATAAGCCAAAGCCCTGTCGAACCTTCTTCTTGGCATCCAGCGCCGTCTCCATGTCGTAGAGGGTCTCCATCAGAGTCTTCTCTTGCTGCTTCACACCTGCGCAGGGTTCTGGGGTGCATCATAGTATCCGTTTGTTCAGGAGCCCTGGGACATACCGTTGCTAAGTTCATTGGTTCCTCGGATCCGGCCCACCTTTCCGGAGGAACTCCAGCTCGTCATTCAACCTCGGCTGCGAAGTTGAGGATGTTAGGTGTCGGGGAGGGCATCCTATGATGGCTGCTTTTAAGCCAAAAGCTCCCAAAACCGATATGAACCTTAGACCCCTGAACCCTCAACCCAAGCCCTCCTTCCAAAGACGAGCAGCTTGTTCCACAAGCCCCGGGCCTTGTCCAGGGCCTCCGAGTGGAGGTCGTGTTCTTCGCTGGCCTTCTCGAGCTTCATCCTGTTCTCGCGACTCTTCTTCTCCTCCCAGACTTGGAGTCATGGCATATATATATATATATATATGATACTCTCATGATAATTATATGTGTCTAAACATGATAAATATGTATATTTTGGCTCCCACTTGTCGGCATCCGGCGGATCCCGCTCTGCAGGCTGTGTGTAGGCTTCGTAGAGGGTGGACCCATGATCCCCTGGCCTCCTCTTCACAATCCAGCACAAGCTAAACATGCATATTAATTATATATGACTATATATATATATATATATGTATATATATATATATATATATACTTATGCCAATATGCTAGCATGCTCAGAAACTAGTACCGTGTCGGCCTACAAGAACGTTGGCCTCCTCCTCGCAGGCTTCCTCCTGCTTGCGCTTGTCTTCTTCGAGCGCTACTTTCTTGGCCAAGGCGCTGTCGGCCGTGGCTTTCTTCTCGGCTGCCTCGGCGCTCTCGACTGCACTGATGTTACTAAAGATTTAAGGAAAACACCGGAAAAGCCTCAAACCCAGACTAAGCCAAGTGATGGTCATTTAATAAGCACAGGAGTATCGAAGCCGGATCCAGTCGAGTCACATCTTTTTCTGCTGCGGTCAAGGCCTTCAAGTGGGACCTGGAGTCCCTCAAGGCGTGCTGAATCGCCCTGCTGATGGCGCTGGGGACCATCCCCACTCGGAGTTCCTGGGCACCTGGGGGTTTCCGAAAATCGGGGACCCGAATATGTAGTAGCCTAAATAGTAGGGTCCTTATTCTAAGGACCCCAAGATGAGGTACCCTAAGGATTTCGGAAACTCCCACCTCGCACTCCCAGAAAAGCCGCCGGATGCTCGTGCCGAGTCGCCCCTGCCCCGAGGCTCAGGGCCAGGATCGCCACTCCGAAAGCACGGCAGCACGCCATGCTGCGGAAGATGTGTAAATCACTCAATCTGGCAACTCAACGGGGGTTTTGCGCTTTGAGCAGCTTGAATGGCTGCGGAACAGCAGCCTGCAGGAAGTTCAATTGCCCTCCTTCCGGTTTTCGCGGCTGCACTCTGCAACTTGGCTCGGCTGCGGAGGATCCTGCGGGCCTTGCACCAGCCGTGCAGCCGAACCAGCTGCGACCCTGCGGACCAAGAGAAAAAGAGGATCTTATGAAGCCGACACAGGAGCAAAAACCAAATGAAACAAACCGTAGCTGCAGGGTCTCGCCGAGCACCGTGCGGGATCTCACTGCACCAGCCACCGGCCAGCCCTGCACATGAGCCTGAGAAGTGAGGACGTGTTTCAGGACATTCCCCCTTTTCCGCCTTTCGAGCTCTTGTGGCCGTATGGAAGCGATCTCCCGGACAAAACTCACTGAGTCTCTTGCGCAGAGCCTGGAAACGACGGGCCTGAGTTCGCGAGCTGATCTCACCTCCTGGGATCCCTGCTGGCTTGGGTCTATGCCTTCTCTCATGGCTTCCGCCGTGCCTTCGAGCTACTATAGGGGCCTTAATAATTAGAATAGGGTTTTGGGGCCCACTATACTACAATTATAGTAAAGGAACCCCCCAAATAGTATAGCTAATTATTTCGGCCCCTATATGAAATGCATGGCGACCTCCAGATGCAGGACAGCCCTCCAAGGCTGCGGCAGCAGTGTGAAGATCCTGGGCGTCGTGTCACATCGGGACCTCCTCTTAAACCCAAGCCCAACCCCTATCTATCACGGAATTTTGCCTCCAATTTCCCTACACCCTATACTTAGAGAGCTTTTTTTCAGAGCATAAGCTTCTGCCCGCGTCCCTTCTCTGCATCCGAAACCCCCGAAACCCTCGACCATAAACCCTAAACCCAGCTGAGCTCCCGTCGCCTCTTCCTCAGGGAAAACCTCAGCTGCCAGGGTTGCCCTCGTATTTGTTCAGGCCCGCTCTGCAAGAGGTAATATTGGGGCCTTAATGACTGGAATAGGACTTGGGTGACCTATTAAACTAGATTTAAATGTAAATGAGGAAACAAATATATGAACACATACATACATATATATGTGTGTATGTGTATATGTATATGTGTATACATGTATACATGTATACATGTATGTGTGTATGTATGTATATGTATATGTATATGTATATGTATATGTATATGTATATGTATATGTATATGTATATGTATATGAACTGTATATGTATATGTATATGTATGTATGTATGTATGTATGTATGTATTATATACCTTATGTGTTTAAGTATAAAGGGGGCCATGATATGAACATCATGGGCAGTTCTGCTGACCTCCTAGGATTTGTGGCATCGCCTCTTCAGGATGGCGATGCCTGGAAACCCCCCCCCCCCCCCCCGCCCTCGAAGGAAACGACACAGGAGGAAAACTGAGTTGTCCTTTTCGCCCTTTGATGAAAATTATTTGCTATTATGGTTCCCTACAAAATAGTAGGGGGAATTAAACAAGGATCCCAAAGGACAAGCCAGAAAAAGCAAGGGGCCATGACCCCCAGCTTGCGACAGATTCTCTGAGCTGCTCGCAAAGTCGAAGATGCTAGAGGACGTGTGGACCTGAATGGCACTACTTAGAAGCTGCCCCCCCCACCCTGTAATTGTGGTATAATCGGAATACAATAGGGCCCTATTATAAACCTTATAGTCACTACTACAAGGTGGGCTAAGGCACTACTTTTTCGATCTCTTGCAGTCCGAGTGTCTGAGAGTCCCTAGTGAGCAAACTCACGGACACTTTGCGGAGCCGGAGAAGCCGAACAAATCGTGAGCGATACAAAACAAATGCCTGCAGCGCCGCAAGCTGTCATCGCGCCCCCGGCAAGGATCAGCCACGATCTTCCGACACCCTTGTCATATGGAGTCCAATTATGCTCCCCGCTGCGACTGGCATCCGAATCCACAAAGCTGAGAACGGTGCTGAACAACAGTTCTCTGGGGCGGCGTGGCTGCAAAAGGCCGACGCCTCGACGCGAGCATAGCTGATCTAGCCTCTTTTGGTGCAATTATTGAAGCATGCATAAATACTATTGCTTGCTACATCATGCTACATCTTCTTTCAATCTGGTACGTAAGGTTGCACTCGGTTCTGCATCGGGGCCCCATCCACATCAAATAATGACTGCGAGCACCTACGAATCGAATGAGCAAGGCCCGGCTCTACAGAGTCTCCTAACCAGTTATTGAAGGATTCCTGGGTTGCTCGGATTCAGGTGCTATCACTAGACACTCTGTTTATGGAAGCCACCAGACGGGCGGTAGAGTCGGGTAGAGAGGAGTCTTGACATCTAATTTGCTCAGATGTTGCCGGTTGGGATATGTCGCGCTCAAGCGAACCCAAACAGTGGCCAACAACGGAATATGACAATTCACCTTCGCAAGCTTGCACGCCCTGTAGACAGCCCCGTCCCCGCCCGCGATGCGAAGCCATGTGCGATGAGGTTGATGACAGAAAGCTGGCACCTCAGTCGAAGCCGCTACAGTGAGCTTGCCTAGCGACAGGAAAGAAGCACAGCGGGATCTTCGCAATGACAGGACACGACAAGCAAGGGATAGTGACTCTTGCCAAACAACCCTGTGGCCCAGGGAAGTGGTAGATCTACAGGACCCTCAACCAGCCCGACACCTCCTTGTGCATCTGAATTCTAGATGCCTGAGGCCCCCGCGAACCAATCCTCTCGGAATTTGCAGTGTCGCTCCACACCTGAAGCTGCCCGTATGAATTTGGGCCCTGCTCCATGTAGTCCCGCAAAGCTGGAATGAAATCCCTGGTCAGTCCATGCCATTGGCTCGAGCTTAGATCCTTCCGAGCCACCTCCGAGGTGAGGACGTCTTTGGCACCCCCGAGATACGAGAGACCGTGACCGGATTTCTTCAACTATGTTGAGGGTGTGGGCATTTTCAGACTCACGTTGCTTGTCCATGTTTGTCCGGGGTGGGGGAACCACCCCTTCACACGGCTGTCAGGTTCTCTCTGCACGTCGCTCCCGGGACCGCCCAGGCTTCGCCCTCAGACCAGACACAGGCTGGCGTCCCTAGGAGCGGAGGTGGGTCTATCTTTGCCCGCACTGTAGAGGAACGGCTTGGGCTCGATTTGTTGGATCAGGTTCGCGAATGGTTTCAGCTTTGCCGCTTCTTAGGTCACCTCGCAAGATGAAGCCAGCGGTGTCTCCGCAGGCTTTGTATTTGGGGGATGCCGCTTCTTTGACCCAGCAAGTCTCTTGACTGCGCGCTTCGAAGTGACCGGACATGGAGCTTTGTGCTACACTTCCACTTTAACGTGGCGCAACAAAAGGCACTCCAACTGCCGAAGGATGGTTCTATTGCGCTGCAAGACATAGCTCATGTTCATTTTAATTTCGACATGCGACGGATTCCGCAGCCAAGACGCAGGAACTCAAGACCCGGATATGTCAAGGGATCCTACTCATCTTCCCCCAATACTTCTAGCGGGCGCCCCCGCCCCAGTGTAAAAACTCGAAAGGTCTGTTGATAACTGCGCTGTTTTTCTCCATTGTCTTTTGCAGGTGCTGCTCCTGATCCTGACTCTGCTACTGCTCTTTCGCTTGCTCCTACTCTTGCTCCTGAACCCCCCATATTCAACATAGGTTTTAGAAGGCAGGGCTGGAAACAGGAGGATTGCCGGGAAAGCCTTGATTCTTGCATCATTCAAGGAGTGTTTCATCAAAGGGGCAGTGACTACCGAAGCCTGTATAAAGACATCTGAGGCAGCAGTGTCGGCAACCTCACTGGCCTGTTGATTTCGGTTTAGAGCTTCTAGGGGAACGAGGCCACCATCAACCCAGTTTGGATGATTGAAGCTGCCTGGTCCATCCCGAAGCACCACGCCATTCCTAGATACCCCCATCCAAGATGTGGAACCCAAAACAACCAACATGCCAATGACTGTGCCGGCAGATTTGTCGGCCGGCCCATTTTCATCGCACGCCCTGGGTGGAGCTCCGTTGCCACAGCTCTTGCTGCTGCGACTGGGGTAGCGCTGCCATCTGTGCAGTTTCCTGAGGCTGCTGGGTGAAGATCTTCATCATGCATGTGTATATATATATATACTTGTACAAATGCATTAAAAATACATGTGTGTGTATATGTATATGTTCATATAACACACATGTACATACACTCACATGCATGCAGGCATCAAGACAAACCTACACATCATACTCTATCGCTCTAGTGGTGAGTTTTGCAACATGGCCGGCAAGAAAGTCCATGGCGGTTTGTGCATCGCCCGTCAGAGACTGTGATGAAAGATGTTGGAGGCGGCGATGAGATTTGGTCCTGGGTGAGGCTTGCAGGACCATGCGCAGTCGGTTACAAACCGCCGGTATTTTTATCCTGGCCCAGGTGTAGTGCCGTGGCGCGGCTTTGGTGGCTTGTGCTGCTTATGCAGTGCCTGGTGACTGGAGGATACCCAACAGTTTTGGCAACAAGGCGAGCGAGTATCAGTCAAGCTGGGCCGGTTACTCGCGTCATGGGAAGACAAGCTGGCCAATCCCATGGTTACGCTGGCTACGGCTACTGCGGGCAAGGCATGCGCGACAGGCTTGACCGGATTGAGGGCATTGTTGAGGAAGCCATGCGCAAAAAATCCAAGAAGCTCCGCAAACAATCCAGCTCATTTTCGTCCTGTCCTTCTTCCGACTCGGGTGCCGAAAGAAAGGACAAGAAGAAGCGCCTCAAAAATCAAAGAAGGATCGTGGATGAACGCGGTTTTGGCTGAGGAGAAGCCTACAGTACCTGGACCCCAAAAGTATGTAGAATAATAGCCTTTTATAGGTTTTGGGCCATTACTCCTTTGGGGGGTATAGGTAGGGCCGAGGGAGCCTCAGGGGGAGATGTTGTCGCCAAAACCCCGGAAGATCGTTGTGGCAGGGTCCCGGGTACACACAGGGGACCAAGTGGAGAAGATGATGCTAGATGATGCGAGGTCTTGGAAAGAAGTAGCGGGCCAGCTCTCATCGGAGAGTTTGTTTTTTGGAGCCGTTGCGCCCAGATGGATAGACGCCAATCCCGCGTTCCGGGCCGGATGCAGTCCGGCATGTCGTTGCTGAGGTGCAGCACAAGCTGCAGTGAGATGCGCCCCGCCCGTTGTTGCTGTGTTTCTGCTGCGAGGATTAGGCGGGAATGGGCAGCAGTGGCTCCTCTACGTGGTGCCTTCGCCTGTTGTCGAGGGCAGGACTAAGGAGGTACGCATCGCTGTGGGTCTTTGCCTAAGAGGAGCAGGCTTGGAGTCAATGGCTTGAGCAAGCCACCAGCCTTCCCATCCTTGCTGCTTCCATGTGCTTCTTGGCTTTGAGGTGCATACTACCCAGCTAATGCCCACACGGTGGCAGAAACGTTTTGAGGCATTCAGCCCAACGGCTACTGACAGCCTGTGGGTCTCAACGCGGCTCTGACTGTAGACTGCTGTGGCAGACCCTTTCGGAGCTGTGTGCTGAGGCGTTCTTCGTAGCCAGTTGGCTCAAAGTGGTCATCGAACGGCGATGGGGAGCATGCTGCAACGGGTGCTTACGACAGTCCCCCGGCCTGTCACCTGGACCACCTAAACGTGAGTCCACCTGTGAGTGCTGCTGGTCTGAAAACCTTGCGGGATGCGTGTGACTTGCTGAGAAGTGTTTTGTTGCACAACACAAAACGAAACAGAACAGAGCATAACATGAACATGATGTGACATTGTGTCCATACGGTAGGTGTGCGCAAAAACAGGCTTTTTTAACACATGTATGGAGCTGTTCATATAGACGTGCAGTATGAGCCTCTTGATCCTTGCGTTGTTTGTATCCCTCTCTCCATCTATCTATCTCCTCATTATGTTACACTACATCACTTTACTTTACTACTTTTACATCTACATCTACATGTTGTAGGCTTATATATCTACGTTTACACTTACAGTGTACCAAAGTCAAGGGAGAGCTCGCTCGTACAAAAGCGACTGAGCAGGCGGGGCTGCGGGTGTTGGGTTCACTCGCAACTCGGACTTGCCAAGGTTTCGTTGCTTTGTGGTTTTAGCCGCCCCTTTTCCCTGGGTTTAGGGGCTGAAGGTGTCTGCCAAAAGGCCATCATCATCTGCAGGCAGGGCTGCTCCTGCCATGGGCAGCCAGCGAAATGCCGGACGAAGTTGCTGGGCTGCCACTCGTGAGCCATCCTCTCTTCTTCAACAAGAAAGGCCAGAAAAGGTTCAAACTTTCTAAGGTACACCAAATGTATAAGGCCAAAAAAAGTTTATAGTTCTTCCATTTGCTATCTAAGCATCCAGTCAACCGAGGCTGGCGGCACAAAGGCGTTGAAGTGCGCCTGGGGCTACGCTCACATACGCAGCTACACATTCCAGATCCTCTGGCCCCTCGGAAGGATCTCTTGTGATCTTATCACTGCTGCGATTCCTGGCAGAGAGCCTGGTGCACGAGACGAACCTCCGTTGGGTAGCTGAAGTCCTCCAATCCCATCTCCATAGCCCCCCTCACCATATGCCAGAAGAACATGGACTGATCCTGATGGTGACAACAAGCAGCGGGAACAATCTGGCTAGCGAACGCTGCTAAACTTCTAAACCTTGTGGCTTTCAGTATATCGTTCTAAACTGAAAGAGTCTGCTAAACACCGCAAACTCATCTTCCAGTGTCCAGTTACGCTCGCCACTATCGATGACGGAAGGAGCCGACTGCTTCACATCGTAAGGATGTCGTTACCAGTTACCAGTTCCGCTTGTGCTTACATATAACCAAGAATCCCATGCAACAGTAAATGTACTGCTTGCCACACGTTCCAGAAATCGCAGGGACCATGGGGAATTCCGTATCAGGAATACGCCAGTGTTGATGCCACCAGGATCTTCGGCGACAAGGAAATGAGCGATGTCGCTGCCAGGGCCCGAACCCTGAGCATACGTGTTGATCAGATCGGAAATCGAGGTTGCGAAGTCAGTGAAGAAAGCGTCACAATCGATGAAAAAGATCCAGTCTGGGGGAGGATCTTCTGGCCGGTTGGCATTGAAAGCCCAATGCGCTCTCTGCCCCGTCATCCTATGATACACGACGTACATCTTGCTGTAATGTGCCTCCCGATCTGGCAGTGCATTTTCTGTGTGCACAACGTACCGGTATCCATGTCGCTGCGCATATGCTTGGTGATTGGGCACCGAGAGGTCGGGTAACGGCGATTCCAGTGTCGTCTTGGATGTCGGATCAGGCTTGTACGAGCCTCGGAACTACAGGGGCATGTAATCATGATGGGCTTCGAATAGAACTCGTCTAGTACAGCTAAACATGGAGTATACGGGAATAGCTGTATTGTATGATACGAGTTATCGATGCTCTTCTACTATATGCCGGGGCAACTTGCGGAATTCTGACCTACGGTACACTTCTCGATTTAGGGAATTTAGAGAGTTTGGGTCTGGGGTTTAGAAGGGCTTCTGAGGACACATCATCCCTGCTTGGGATCCTGCGCACTTGTGCAGCCACGAAGCGGCCGAGGCCAGCTTAATCTGGGCTTTTCTGGCGGGCATCCACTGGGCTTTGAAAAAGACTTCGGTGAGTTCAGGGTTTAGGGTTCAGGGTTTAGGGGACCCTGAAGAAGAGGATCCTTCGTGCCAAGCGCCCCTGAAGTCACTGGAAACGCTCCCCTAATGCTACCCTAAACCCAAGCCCTCAACCTACCAAAAAAAAACCTGAGGAACCGAAATCCTACACCCCCTTTGGGGCCGTGGAGCAAATCGAGTGGATTTCAACCCGGCCGAATGCAGCGCCCCGCAGCCAGGGCTTTGGCTGCACACGCAGCGCATCGTGCAGCTGTCCCAGCATGATCCTGGGCTTGAGGCTTTCTTTTTTTTTGAGCCCTCTTTTCCTCCTGCCCATACGGTTTTGAGGCTTTCAAGGCTGAGGGGGTTTAAGGGGTCTTGAATTGAAAGGAAGGCACTGCGAAGAAGTAAAATAGTGCGCATGGCACTGAGGGCGACTGCAAAATTACGTCAATCCCCCTAACCCTTTGCAGCTGAGGACACAGGACAGACAAGCACAAGTGTGCGGCTCTTTTTCGTTCCATGCTCAGGGTGCTTACGCCTGGCAGTAGCTCCGGGATCTCCGGCCGGGCCGTGTCTCAACTCTTGGACACTGCTAGGGCCTTTTAACCATGTTTAGGGCCTCCTCCTTGCTCTTCTGGAAGTGTTGGCGCAAGAGCGTATCTTGCGTGTGGCGCCCGGAAAGGGCTGCACACTGACCATCTTTTGCTTCCGCGACCAACATGCCACCGCTCTTTCCACAAAGCATGGAATGCCGGGCGCAAAGTATGGCGTGGCGGATGTCGAATGGCCGGAGCCGCAGATACTCGCAGTGCGACAAGGCCTTGTAGTTCTGCTCCTCTTCGCTTGACGACTCGTCCGGCTTGTACAGGTCGTCAGGATTGCTGTCGAAGAAGCCGTCCACATACTTGGAGACATTGTAATCCATAGCATTCCTGAGAGATTTCAAGCCGTAGCTGTTTGCGCCAAAATGGTTCGCGAAGGGCTGGTTTGGCAAGAACTTGCCGTCCTGGGCTGTCTCGAAGCCGACGCGAGCGCAGTTCGTTAGGGCTCCGGTGATGCCGGCGCCGCTGGCCGCCCCGAGCAGTGGAAGCACCGCTACGGCAAAAGGAAGCACCACCGCACCGGTCACGGCTCCAGAGACGAGGCCCGCCATAAGGCTGACAAAGCCTGGACCGATTTTCTCTGCCGTCACTTCGCCAGCGACGAGACCGCCGGCCGTTCCGAAGGCTCCTGCAGTAAGCAAGCCGGCGAAAACACCGGTGACGAGACCGCCGGCGGCATCTGCAGGGGCAATGAGAGCCATCTTCAGTTTGTCCTTGTAGTCTTTTGCGCGCGACACGGCGATGGTCTTCAGCGGCTTTGCTAGCAGGTCTTCCGGCGACATCTCGCACATCACACACAGGTTGAAGCATTGGTAGGAGTTTTGGTTTGCAAGTGCCTGATCGGTGAGCATCCAAAGGTCTCGGACCAGCTTCATCGACTCCTCAATCGGAGGCGAAGTGCCAATGTACTGCGACTGCAACTCAACCACATTATCCTTGACGCGTTCCAAGACGTGCGCATAATTCTCGGAGTGAATCCAGCTCTTCTGGAATTCGAGAGCTCGTGGGTAGTCGTTGATGCCTTCGACCTCCTCTTTCTCAGAGATCTCCAGGTCGCCTGCGAGAGACTTGGAAGACCGGTGGCCCACCGCCCCCGGGGGGCAGAGAAGCGAAAAGCAGACCGCCAGAACGCACCGAGGAAGCGCTGTTTGCATGGTGCGTAGCTTAGCGAGTATACGAATCCTTTTACAGGCAATGGAGAGGCTGCCACGAGGGCTTGAGCGGCAAAGGCTGGAGTCTGTGTCGACTTCAGTCTCTCCGTCTGCTAGAGACTTAAGGTAAATCTCACAACTTCATGCAGGTCAGAGCAATATCCTCTCCATACCAAGCGACTGGTATTGGATGTGCAAGCGCGGCAGAAACTTCTTCGGAGGGGCATTCGGCATAGCCTCCAGTGACGCATCGGTGGGCGTTCCAAACGCGTCCTGCAACTGCGGCCGAACACGAGAAACTTTCACGCTGCTTCCCACACCCATGCAGGCAGAAACATCACGACAAACTCGTCACGCTGTTACGGCTTATCTTGCTTAGTCCTCATAAGAAGATTACTGCACAACAGCTGCACCAGAGCCGGAAAGGGGAAAACTTGCATGTCCCCACCTTGATTTCATGGTAGAGGGATGCAAACTCCTTCAACGCTTGGAACTTGAATGCGTTTCCTGAGTTCCATCATTGGGAAATCCGATGTGAATCTACAGCAGCAGCAGTTTGAGCTACTCAGCTTTGCTGCTTGTGATTTCTCAATGCATGCCATGTGGTTCAAAAGCTGTACATCGGACAAGTGCCTAAGGAACGCCGGTGCCCTACTGCTGATGGACAAAATCCTGCATTACCTTAAGGACCCGAAACTATGGGAACTATGGTATATTCCTTATAATGGGTAATGCAGGATTTTGTCCATCAGCAGTATGACTTTGAGGCAGCCTGCACTACCACGACTTGCTAGAGCCAGGATTCTGTGGTGAACCTTCGCAGACACGCAAATCAGTCTACCCCGCGATGAACAGCCCAAGTTTCCCAACTGGATGAGGATGCGTGCGCGACGAGGGTGATCCAGGGACAGAGACCATTCTGCCGTACCTGGATGTCTGAAGTATGGTCGGTAGGATAACAGCACTCAGACAGCAACCCTGTGCTTGGCACGTCCAATGGTATCGCCATCCGGGAGGCTCTGCAGATGTTGGGCAGCTAAGGCGGGACATCGGAACGCAGCATCCAAGTGAGTGTCGAACCTTCAGATGGCGTAAGCGCAGGGTCCGAACAAGCATCTCCTTCTCTCATCATTCTCCTTCCGAGTACAGTAGAAGCCAGAAAGTTGGAATATGATTATCCTAAGCCCTTTATGGTAAATTATAGGGTATCCTGCCCTGAAACCATATTCCAACTTTCTGGAGCTCCCTTTATCGCTATGGTCACCTGCTTTGTAACTATACTTGCTGCATCTTGCTGAATTTTATTGTGCTACAAATGGTTCTTGAATCGAACTTTGTATTCCCCTACCCGAGCCTTAGGGCCCCCCCTGCTTTCCATGTTTCTTCGCAATGCACCTCTCTCCGAAAGCAGCGAATCGTAGATATTGAGCTCTCCTAGCTACGACTGCTGTCCTTTACACTGTGAATGCGGACATTCCAGCCTGAGAACATGAAGAAAGGCTTCGAGAACCTCCAGCCCCACAACACTCTTGAGACAGGGAGCAGCTGCAGGAGTGCCGTCAGCCAGTGACCCAACCTCGCTGTCCGACAATGCCTATGCCCGGGATTCGAGGTCCAGGCTACGTCTTCTCCACTTCTTGTCGTTGCGATGGTCTCTGATTGCTGTTGCTTTGCTATTGCTCTCGTCTGCGTTGTGGACCGCTCCCTCCCGCGAAAACCTGATCCCTACATCGCCCCAAACCAACAATGCCTCGCGATTTCTCCGGGGCCCAGAGCGGATATAGGCCCAAGCCCTGAAAAAGTAACATTGACTTCATCTTTATAAATGTACAAATATGTATATATATATATATACATACACATATATACATACACATACATACACATGCATACACATACATGCACACTTACATATGTACGTACATACATACATACATACATACATACGCACATGCATACATACGTTACATTACATTTCATAACATACATAACGACATAATGCCAATGATAGAACGCACGCGAAGAACAGCGCCAACATGATGTTCCAGGTATCGTGATGGTGATTGCTAATTTAGGAAGGCTCAAAATCTTGAAACTGAGCGAAGCAGTCTGAAGTCGCCTTTCTTGGAATCCTGGCTGTGCCGCCGTTAGATCGGAAATCTTACATCGCCCCAGCCCTACAAAAAACCGAAGCACCCTCATTCAGCCATAAAGATCCAGTAAATCCTAAACCCTAAAAGAAGACCGGTGAGTCGATACAGTACACCAGAAACACCCTGGCTGTGGCCACCGGGCCTTCTAGACCGGAGGTAAGACTCGGATAGGGTACTACATCCGGTCTAAACAGGCCCGGCGGGTGAACGACAAAACACAACGGTTGGTGTACTGCATCGGGTCTTAGGCAACCGGGTCGGCCACAATAAGGTAACTGGCACACCCTGACCCGCTACACCCAGCTGCACAAGCAAATGGGTTGCATAAAGGCACATGTATGTTGATTCATGCGCAAGACTGAACCGTGCGTCGGCCGTGTAACTGTCTTTCTTCGTGTACCAAGAACACCGTAGCTGCACGTCATCAATCGGGACACGCATGGATTGTATGTCAAGCAAACAGGTTTGCGGCAAGGATAACTGTAAGGATTGCGATGCAGGTGTCTGGAGCACACAGATTTGTGCAGCTAGGACATTGACATTCCATGCACTGTATACATACCACATGTTGCAATCGAGCTGGGGCGCCTTCCTGGTATGCTAACAAAACAAGATGTCTCGCAGGTTCACGTACTTGATGCTAGGGCGTGTGCTTTGTTAAGACTGGCATGTATCGAATCGACCCTATAAGACATGTGTTAGATGCTTACCACAGGTTGATGGGACCACACTGTCTTTTCAAACGCGGACAAATCTGAATCAAAAACCCTGGTTTCTCAAATATTGCATACCAACACAGAGGATGTGTTGGCGTTGGCTGGACCTCGTCATATCATATATGCTAAGACTGGGCCTGCTTTGAACAAGTCAACATCTGCGCGCAAAGAAACCTCGAATCAAGTACTCAATCAATTCAACTCTATGATACCCGCTCAAGGCTGACTGTGCCTTAACCTTAAATTAATACATGCACCAGGAGCCACAGGAGCACATGCTCCTGCAATCTACTGACGTGAACCCCTCGAGTCCCACACCACAGGCCCCAAACCACATGCAGGCCCCAGAATCTACCGGAACATATAGAAACAGTATGCCTTCTTAAAGGTCCCGATCTAATTATGCTATGGCTATGATGTCTGCTAGTAATGTAGGGGCCTTAATAATTAGAATAGGTATTTGGGGCCCATTATACTATATAATCATAATAAGGAACCCCCCCCAAAAATAGTATAGGTAATTATTAAGGCCCCTAAATGATTTCCTTGAAATCCGGCTTGGCCGCCGCACGCTGCAGCACGGCTTTCGAGGCCGAAGCTACCAGCCAAATGTGCTCTGGCCTCCGCCCCCAAATCAGTTTAGGGGTTTAGGGGTCTTAGGGTTTAGGATGTTTATGGGTTTAGGGGTTTAATTTAGGGTTCAGGGGTTTAGGGTTTAGGATGTTTCGGGCTTGGGGGTGTAGGGGTTTTTCCCTCCTACTTAGCAAGGACGAAGCCCGCATTTAGGGTTGTGTATAGGATGTTTTGGGTTTAGGGTTTCGGCGCTCGCACTCGGACGACCCTGGCAAAGCATATGGTTGGAGGTGTGCTGAGTGAGGCAGGGTCTCGGCTCTGATCTAGGGCTGCATGGGTGCATGGGTGCAAGATTCATGGGAACCTGATGATCCCTATTACGGTCACTAAAACCCTATAAACCCGCAAAGGAACCCTTATCGATCCCTTAAAGGAACCCTTGTAAATCCCTTTTGCAGGACAGTTTCCTCTTTCCCCGCTGCTCTCGTGACTGTATGAAGCCACAGGATGCGAGAGACCCATTAAACTATGCAATGCAGACTACTTGCAGCCTGTACGGCTCGTCACATGACGCTGTTGTGCATCCTGTTTGGGTCAGCTCCAGATCGAGACATGGATCTTGTGGCATCTGGATTACAGTTTCGGCGATTCCTCCAACCCCGGTTTTTTTTGAGCTCCCTTTTCTGCGGATGCCCTCCATCCCGGCTTTAGCCTCCTGACTTCTGACTGACCTACTTTAACAGCCTCTTCTTCGCGCCTACACCCTCGATCGGCCTCCAAAGATGCGAGAGTTGGGTCTCGCCATGCCGCCAGAGTTCCCGGATCCTTTGTGGCGACGAGGCATTCCTGTGGCACTCATGACTCCTAAACCCAAAACCCTGGACCAGAACCTGGAACCCTAAACCAGAACCTGAAACCCTAAACACTAACCTGAAACCTAAACACTAAACCCCGTTAGCAAAGCGGGTGCGCAAACCAGCCACACAAAGCGAGCAAAAGTTGCACAATGCATGCTTGTGATGATGACGACCAGCAAAATCTTGACTGTATTGGCCCCACCACTGATGTTCAGTACCATGGTCTTCTTCTTGGAAGTACCGATTTCTGTCAGCAGAAGCAGCCGATCGGACATGAGTTGGTCACGATGCAATCTTCTTGAGATTCAGATGTGAAACTGCGGCGGTGGGAAGGGGAACTGAAGAACTCTTTGATTGGTTTCGAAACCTCAACGGATTTTACAGAGCTGTGCTCTGCAAGAACATTCAGCATCACCTTTTCGTCATGTCACACGCCGGCTTGTTCTGTAACCAATATACCCCAGATGGTTGCAATCTGAGCATGAAGTGGGTGCCTGACCTTTCGCAGTTCCGCAATATTGAGCACAGTCAGTGATTATCCTTTTCGTAAAAGTTCGCCGAAACTTGAAACGGGCTTTACCTTAGCATCGTCCACAGGTCGCAGCCTTAGACACACAGTGCAGCAAAATTGATTGGTTTCGAAATAAACCCAGAAGGAGGACATAATGAGCCGTAGGAAAGCTATGGCTCCCCGCGATTATAGCTGCAGCCCTTTTTGCAGCCGTTGTAGTGACCCTTCTGCCCGCTGTCCGGGAAAGCCGTCCTCTTCCAACAGCGGCACCACCACACCCTCGTACGGGGACTGCGCTGTGGCCAGCAGCAGAGCCAAAGCAGAACGCAGCAGCACCATGATAAGGTAACTACTTGTACATATGTAGAAGGGTTACGCTAAGGGGTAGTAGTACGCTCGAACCTTTTTCTATGAATACCTATCCAAACAGACCCCGGTCTCTTTCACTTACGAGCTGCTGCGAGTTACATGGGAACTGCCTGCTAGCTGCAAGCTCTCGCAAAGAATTAGAACAGGGCTTTGAGGATATAGTGTGCAGTATATTATAGCGAGACTATGAAGGGATACGACATGAGTAAGATTACTAATTGCAGTCTTGATGTGCCTATCTGCCCCTGAGCACTTCTGGGGGTTACTACGCCTGGGCGGTGTTTGGCATGAATTTCTCTGCTGCTGATTCAACACACCACGCAGCGTGCATGCTGCCTGTCATGTTCTTCTCGGAGTACACCGAGCTTACAATCAATATTCTATACTCCATGCTCTCTACTCTGAACCCCAAGCCCAATTCACACCCTCTCCAGCAGAGACCCGCCTCAAACCCATGCTTCGGTTCCGTCAAGTAAGCCGCACAAAGATGGCAAACAAAACCAAACCCTCAGAAACGCTCTGATAGCAAAAAGGCAAGCCTTGCGTTGCCCTTCTCTGGCATAGCTACCTGCTAGCCCTTTGTGATTGTTGTCACAACCCGTATGACATGCCTTAATGTAGGAACCTGATTAAGAAACCTGAGGGTTTTTATCAGGGTTGCTTATTCGAGCCCTACTATTTGGGGCAAGTCCAGGGTTTCTTACTCAGGTTCCTACATTACCGCACTAGTCCGCCCACAGAAATCCGCCGGGTCCGCGGCCAATAGGCCAGGCCAGCTATCGAATCTTGGTTTCGGTTTCTGCTTCTGTACAGGGTTTGGGGTTTAGTGTTCAGGGTTTAGGGTTTCGGGTTCTGCTTGTGTATGTTCGAAGCATCTGCGTGCAGGGCTTAGGGTCTCTGGATTCTACTTTGTCTCTGTTCTTGTGAAACGGAAAAAGTGGCGGGGGGGGGAGAGGGGTGCCGGCTCTTTTGCTTGTGAGTTCAGCGTCCGGGGCTTAGGAGTTTAGCACTTGGGGGCGTGGGTTTGGGGTTTAGGGGGAAGCTTGGGAGGAACCAGTAACATTACTACTCATACTAAGCTGAAAACTAGGGTGATACCACCTAATGTTCATACCAACGTACATGTTGATGTTAACAAGAGAATGATTATGCACTTGTATTAGACGGTAAGACGAATTTCCATAGCACATCTATACCAATACCAGCTTTGATACTGATACTAAAACTCTTAGACATTTGCAAGAAAAAGCAATGAATGAAGGTGTCGATGAGTGCACACATGTATATATATATATATATGCACACACTGTTTACAGTCATATTGCTGCATGTTGATAAACGTTTATAGTTTAATCTTATGCTTGTTGCATAAGCGTAACTACAAGTGCAGCCATGTCTATCATGTGTGTCTGTGTGTATCTGTAGTCATATGCAAATCGTATGAACCTGCGTGTCATTCAGTATGCAAAGGCAATTAGAACTAAATAAACAACCTGTTACAGATAAACATCTTCACGAAGAAATATATGAACAAATCAACAAACAATATTAAATCATAAGTACAGATACATCAGTTAAACCCAGTCATTGGTTTACATGTAGATGCACAAATAGAGTCGAGTGCATCGCGCTATACTACGGCGACGGGTTGATGCACAAAGGTTCCTTTCACTGCCTTGCTCACGGTGTGGCTCTCGCAAGTATGAAAGGCAGGGTACCAGATATCCTTGCCGAAAGGGAACATGTGCAAAAATGAGTTGCTTCGCACCTGATACATGGCCAAAAGGCTCTTCATGTTGCAGAGGTACCGCTGAACCCTATGCCTGCAAACCTTAAACCATTCGTGATGACCACCCAGCTCGGGGCCAGGCTCAATGCGAAGCCTGGAAGCTTTCGCAGATTCAAGCTGTGTTAGTAGAGCCGTGTCGCTCTATTTCTTCCGCCAGTGTGGGAGCTTCCAACCAAGTCTAAATTCAATAGTAAGATCCTTGTCATGAGGATTCCCAAATAAGGTACTCCTACGTTAAGAAACTCCGTGAAGGCCGCAGAGTTTGGGTACAAAAACGCAAATACCATGGAGCAGAATCGTGCTATGAATGTCAGTGCAAGCTGACCGACTCTGACCGCCGAAGTCCTTAGCATCCGGCACGCAACTGTGCTGTCGGCCGTCTGGGTCAACCTTGGTCGCTGCCACCTGAGTAAGGAGAGAGAGAAACGGAGAGAGAGAGAGAGAGAGAGAGATCCAGAGAGACAGGGAGAGAGAGAATGAGGGAGCACTGGTGGGTGTTGTGTGTGTGTGTGTGTGTGTGTGTCCCGCGTATGTGTGCGTGGAGTCTCTGTGCGTGCGTGCGAATTAAGTCTTGCTCGTGCTCATCGTGAACAAATGCAGTTTGTGTCCGTGTATAAAGGGGATACGTACGACCAGCATAAAATCAAGTATACACATTTATGCAGTCTGTAAAGTATATGTGCATAGCAGCAGCCCATGTTTAATGTGATCTTACTGACGGAAATAACCACTGTTGAACTATGTTTATGCCTATGTCAGCAACATGTACCTTTGGATATGTGTGGCTGCATACATGTCTGTGCATGAAGATAAGCTTCAGCAGGTGATGATCTGAATAGCTGCCTGTTTTTATGCATGTATCATACACGCCCTCGCAACACAACGCCTCCGATTCTTCGGGTTGTCCGCTACTCACAAGGACGATCCTGTCAATCTACCTTCGGAATTGTCAAGGGCATATATACGCGGTGAATCAGGGTGACATGGTACGGCAGCGTCAGAAACTACGGCAATCTAGGCAATACGGGGATCCTTGATACGAACATCCCTGACTCTTGAGAATCTTAAAAGGCACGCTTCTCTTCCTCACAAACATCCCCCCAATATCCTCCAATAATTCAATCGGTCTCAGAAGTGCATGCTCTCGCGCATAAATCGGGATGTACCGGCATTGCAAGAGATGGATTACGACGGCGGCCAGGATTTTCACCTCAATCTGCTGCGGGTCTGCCGGCGGCCTTCAGATCGCATTTGGAGACACGGGCCTCGCAAGAGCGAGAACCGTGGCCGACATTCTTTTCGGGGTTCAGAGAAGCTGCAGCGGCAGTCGAGTAGCACAGAAAAGGCCCCTAACGCAGAACTCCAAATAGGATCATTGGGAATCGGATCCTGAATATGGTACCACTACATGCTTGTGAAATTCCGAACCTTCTACACCCTCTCTCTCTCTCTCTCCCTCTCCCTCTCTCTCTCTCTCTCTCTCTCTCTCTCTCTCTCTCTCTCTCTCTCTCTCTCTCTCTCTCTCTCTCTCTCTCTCTCTCTCTCTCAGGCATTCGAAACGTCAACACCCTAAAGCCGAAAACGCTGAAACCCTATACACCTTAAAAAAACAGTACGCTCCACAAAACCTAAACATTAACCTGATGCTCCTCAGAGTCTAAGACCACAAAAGCCCAAGAGCCACGCGCGACTTCTTCCGCCTCCGTCTCCGGATGGGCGACCTGCAATGATCAAAGGTGCCTTTAAAGCAATCATCATCATCATCATCATCATCATCATCATAAGGTCATAAAAATATAGAACCAGCCTAAAGAATGAACATATTGATAACAATAACAGCGGACAAATCTATACAATAGAAACAACCAAAACATACATTCTGAAGGGTTACTATGAGGGTTTGTGAAAGCAGCCTTGATAATTGCAAGAGGGTTGTTTGAAACAAAGCAGGGGGTTGGGGGCGCACCCCATCAGCGAACCTTCCCAAACAATTACTTTTGTTTTTACCCTCTAAAGCGATGCCGCTTCTGACACATCGACGCTATTGCGGTAGTCGCAGCAAGCTTCCAAAGCTTCACTAGCGCCCTCAGAAGCCTGGATGATGAGCCCGCGCTCTGCTCGCCCTGTAGAGACGGTCACCTCGGTCTTTGAGGGAAGGGTTTGTGGACAACTTTGATGCTTCGGGATTGCGGCAGACCCTTCGCGGGTAGTGTTGCGTATTCTGCTGACACTTGCACTAACTGAGACCGTGGCTGTCGAATCACCACCCTTGGCTTTGAGGGCTGCCTTCGCCTCATGGCATAACTCTTTACAGGGCTCTTTCTTTGCAGCTTCGCTTCCGTTTCGGACCGGAACATTCCAATACCCTCAATCGCAAAACATGAACATTGAAAACCTGAACATCGCAGTGGGCTTGCGAGACGGTTCAACTTCGGTTCGGGGGCTTCAGGTCACTCTGTGGCCAAGGTAGGGCAGTAAACTGGAAGAAAGTCTAAGGGCATATTGCAGCAGAAGTATAATAAGGAACCCGCCAAAAACCGTACGACCAATTACCGTCATACCGCGGCTTAAGGAATTGTAGTCCCTTACCCCCCTAAGGGATCCTATGATGCAAGAAAGCCCAAGTTCAAACGCTTGGCCGAAGCGGCCTCAGGCTACTCTTGGCTTTTCTCTTCAGGGGATCTCGAAGACACCACTCGGAGTTTGAATGACATGCTCTTGTTGTTGTGGTTGTTGTTGCTACCATCCTTGTTACAAAATTGTATTGTCGTTATTGCCATCATTGTTATTGTCCAAAATATTGTAATTATTGATTACATTTTACAACCAGTATTATCGTCCAAATCTAAAGATGCTCCGCCCCAGGATTTCCTTCCGCGGTATGAATGTCTCAATGCGAGCAGTCAGCCAACCCTTTGCGAGGCAGTCAACAAAAAAGAACGTTCATGGGCCAGCCTGTTGTGGCTGTCCTCTGGTTGGGTAAACTATGACATTGTTGATGTCCTTGGCCCTGATTGCCCGATCAGTGTGGCTGTGGCCCCGACGGACGCCTTGGCCACTCCTGCTGGAGAACACTGGAAACCCATTTACCAGGGTCTTGCCCCTTTACAACCACAGTATAGAATGCCATTCTAGAGGCAAACATAGGGTAAAGCCACAAGTCCTCGAGTCATTTCGGGACTACCCTAGAGCACTCCTCATTCGTTTCAATTCCTCGCGTGGAACGTAGCTCCCTGCCCTCTCCTGAAGCTTCCCTCTGGATGCCATGCCGAAACGAAAAGAACGCCGCCTAAGCCCGAAGGTCTTGACCCTAAACTCAATAAGTTCCGTCAATCCACCCTATTCATATACCTACTACGTTTAAAGCCCTTGACCCGGTTCAGCACCACACCCCGAACCCGAACCCGAAGCCTAATGTAGGAACCCGATAAAAGAAACCCTTTTTTGAACCCAGACTCTGCCGAAGAGCTGGGAAGCACTGCAAAGCCCTGGGCCTCTAACACCAAAATAAGAGGATCCATATAATAAAGGCCCAAGGTTTCTTCCTCAGGCCCCTACATTAAACCCCCAAGCCCGGGATACCCCCCGGGTCCTTTCTTGCCCCCTTTGCCGGGTCCAGGGGCAGGCTCGGCCACCTCTCAAGCAAGTAACGGTTAGAGCTTAAGGTTTAAGATTGTAGGGTTGTCTAGGGTTCAGGGTTTCGACTTTGTACGGAGAAGATTTGTTGGGGTTAAGAGCTAAGGCTTTTTGGTGCCTCCTACTTCGCAGGGACGAGCCTGCATTGCAGGGTAGTTTGAGGTCTGGCAAAGCCACAGCACTTTTGCGACTGTCCACTTGGACGTGTTCTTTGGCCCTTTTCCTGTCTGCGACTTTGATGGGCTTAGGCTTTCAGCACCGCACTCGGACTTGCCTGGGTTTAAGCTTTAGGCTTTTCGGCTTAGGGGTTTAAGGCTTGAGGGTTGAGAAGGTTTTGCCCCTTGTCTGGCTGGCCAATGCCCAGGATTAGGAGCGTACACTCTCACAACTCGGACGGAGCAAAGCTCCTACATCCTTTTGTACTGGGGTCGCAAGTTCAGGGGTTAAGAGCTTTGTGATTTCTTCACGCTGGCACAGCCCGGACTCGCTGGGTTGTCTGGGGTTCAGGGCTTGGGGTTGGGATTTCAGGGGTTACGGTTTGAAGCTAGTCTGGTATCTGGAAGAGGGTTCCGGAGTGTGGTGGCCTCAACGCCGGCCAGAGCGGCCAACCGCGACCGGATCACCAGCGTCACGCCATCCCGGACCTCCTTTCAACAACTTGGGCTTGTAACCATAACAGTAACCCGCATCACCCACTATAGTCACAATGTTTCGGGCTAGGGTCTCGGGCCTGGGTCTGGAATGATGGGTGGGCATAGTTCCCACAAACAGGGACAAGTCGCCCCGAGGCCCACAGCATGCCCCCTCAGCATATGGAAGTGTCGGAAAACAGGGGACATAATCACTAATACGAACCAGAGTTGATAGCTCCTGAAAAGAAAACCCAAAAAATTGAACCAAGAGCTTGAGCAAGCAAAGCCTAAACCCCCAAGCCTGACCCTCATAGCTCACCTGAGGTGTGTCTTCCGAAAGCCTCTGAAGCGCTGACTACAGAGCCGAAGACAAAAGCTTCATGCATGATACTGCTCATGATCACTTTCAAGCTTGGGGTTCAGGGATGTTCAGGGCTGAGTTCAGCTTTGTCAAGTGCCGACATCAAACCCCAAGCCTTATCGTAAAAAACCCAACAATCAAAGACAAGCCCTAAAACCTAAACCTCAAAGAACTCTTAAAACCGCTGAACCCTCAACCCTCTCTCCCAGGCATTCGGTACGTCAAGCCTGACGGAAGGGCTGCACTTGCGGCCCGACGTGAAACAACAATCGGAACACCGAGCGTTTGTCGACAACCGTCAACCCTAAACCCTAAAACCCTCAAACCTATCGCGGGCCTTGAAGTCTGCCAGGGGCTTCTCGACCCTCTCCAACCCAGGGGTGAGCCGGGAGTCCGCCCACTTCAAGGTCTCACCTCGCTCAGAGGGCTTTGAGGATTTAGGATGTCTTGGGGTTTTGCGATTTAGGATGCTTTTTGTGTGTTTAGGGTTTAGGGCGACAAGGGTTTAGGATGTTTTGGGGGTTTAGGATGTGTCAAGGGAGGACTCCCGCACGAGCCTGACTCGCGTCCTCCCAAGCCCAAAACCCTTGATTCTCCAATGCCCGGTCTAGGGGCTGTGGGTTTTGGTTGTTTGCCCTCTCGCATGGCAAGAGGAGCTTGTAGCCAGGCTTCGCGGATGAAGGGGGTTGAGGGAGTCAGCGTTGCCTTCTGTATTGTTTGCTTGGTCCTGGAGCTTCGGGATTAACGGGCAAAAAAGGCATCCCTCAGCCACATCGGGGGTGTCTTTGCATGGAGTAAGCGCAGTGTTCCTCCCGATGGACAGAGACGACGACAACATCCGAGAAGAGAGAAAGAGAGAGAGAGAGAGAGAGAGAGCGACAGCGAGAGCGAGAGAGAGAGAGAGAGAGAGAAAGGAAATAGTCCCAGGAGAGCTCGTCCACCTGAATTCACGGAGCGGCTTCAATCAGTTGCCCGGAGCTCTTGAGGTTCCGGAGCACACCTCATAGCATCCTTTGATCATGGCTGCGAATCCGAGACAGCTCCTGGAAACACATGGAGGTAATCGGAGCCTTACCCTTATCTCCGTTGGCGCAAACCCGACACCATTTATGCCCTAAAACCCCTAACGACCCCTCCGTCCAACCTTAAAATCCGTAGCTTCCATTCAGCCCAGCAACAGCGCTTGCTCGTGAGCGGCGGACCTGTCAGTGCAGTGCACTGAGCTGAAGAAAAAGGAGGATTTAGGGTTGTACATACTGTACATGTTCAAATATATGTGTATATATATATACACACATGCAACCCTGGGCATGCGCTTTCAGGCAACCGACTCCGAAATATGCATAGTAAAACTCCCGAAGTACCAAATATGCCCAACAAGTCAATTTTATCACAAATACCCAAACAACCAAGGAAAAACAAAGAATCAACAACACCGAAAGAACCAAAAAGAAACAAGCACCATGTTGGCACTCCTGGAATCTGGTGCCCGAATTTCCAAGAGTTCCGAAAACTTGCTTTAATCTGCACATGGCCCCTCAGGGTTACCACATGGATGCAACTCTATGCAACACAAAGGCCAACGTACTCGAGGCTAAACACGTACAATAAGTTTTTCGTTATCTCATACTATCGACATTGCCTTCTACATTGGCTTGTATGTTCTTCTTCTCCACGTATGATATGATATTCTCAATACATATACAGAGCTTTTGGTAACTTGCGTTTAAAGGTACTTGATTGGTCCATGGAATAGTACGTTAGCGCATAATCCAAAGTATAGTGTAGACATTGTTACTCGTGTTTTTGTTCTCTAGGTGAAGACTGAACGATAAGATATCTTCATGTATAAATACTCATGTGGTTCACTCATGGCAGGTGGCAGTTTGTTCAACAGCTACTCACGCTGCTTTATACCAGCCAGGTATTATAAAGTAAGTGAAGTATGTTGTTGAGTCCTCCGCCCTTCACAGTGAAGACCTACTAGGTAGTATTGCCAGAAAATAACACCTTCGCTGGCACTACTTCTCGGCATACACAAACACTCGGAATACAGATGGATGGGTTGATCATCTGACATATTGGCTATTAAATACACGCTGAAAGAGGCTTGGTGAGTATTGGTGATTCAACATGTTTTGGCTGCTTGTTAAAACTGTGGACTCCTCTTGGCTGTATTGCTTCGCTTCTGGCATTCGTGAAGCAAATTTGATGTTGTTCTCGCTGTCTTGTTGTTGGTATACCAGCTGAGAGCTTTGCATGTGTATTCTGAGCATAGTTCATCTTAAGTCTGTGCGTCGGTTGGGTCATGTCTATCCTACCGAAATAGGACCTATCATGTTTACAAAACCGATTTCGAAATCTCGCACCTAGTAAACGAAGGATCCTGTACCTATATGTCAGAGTTTGGCTGTGAATTGGTGATATTGTACTGCGTCGGGGGGGGGAGCTTTCTGTAAGGAACTCTGAAAGTCCTGCAAACACGAAGACACTCGAATTGAAGACACACCGCCCATGCCAGCATCAAGCTGCAGAAGCAAGCACGTTATACATCTGCCTTGGGAGGTGTGTAAGTTAAGCCAACACCTTGTCCGTATCGCGCTTGTTTTCTCATAGTACAGTCTAAAACCGTGGAAAAAGAAGCACTTAAAATAGCGTGGTCAAGCAGTATCTAGTCGCAATCTAGTCTCGTACAAGACGCAAGGGTGAATCGCACGAACATGCTTGGCGATATGCAAGTACCTTACATACATATGTAGCCACATTGCAAGAGTAGCAACTTCGTATTCAACCCATTCAACCCGTGAAACTACAAAAACTAGTGATTAGACACATAGAGATTTTTCAACTGGGACCCTTTTTTCAGCACGGACTGGGACCCTTAAAGCCTAAACGCTAAGATTCCCCATCAAGATGAAGCCCCGATTTTCCTAGATGTACAATGCCGCCGGTCGAAGGCCAAGGATGAAGTAAAAGACTTTCTGGAAGTCTTTAAGACTCCATTGCAGTGCTAGTGTGCGCGTTCAGGGTTTTCGTGTTTAGGGTTACACAATACACTAGAATCGAATAAAAGTGATGGGATTGATCATGAGACTGACAACTCTATGCTCAGGGATCTGTTTTCTGAAAGAGTCAAACTCGCAGTTTGTGGTAGACATGTTACATCATCAGCGACAGTAAGAGCAGCAAACCCAAAACATGCAGCAAGCCAAAAAGGAAAGCATTGCCAGTGCTAAGCTTCCAGTATGAACAGCACGATTTCCACTGAGCACAGCCAAAACGACGGCTAGACAAGACAGTGCGTGTTCAAAAACATATTCAATTAAATGTCCCTCGGATCCAAGATTCGAGATTCAAGGTGCGGGGGGGAAGCTTTCCCTGCGCATCTGGAGTCTCATAATCAATTTAACATGTTTTGAATCCGCTCTATCTTGTTCAGCGGCGAGAGCTTTGTACTGAAATATGATGAAAAAGTACGATCTCCCGATAACCCATGCAGTCCTGAAGCCGAGGTAAAAGGCGTGGATACATGGGGAGGGGGGCCAGAATATGTGTATACATATACACACAGATATGTATGAATCTATATATATATATATATACATATTATACACACATGCAGACACACATACACAAATAAAGACATACATACAAAACACAGCATAACATACCACGCCATCCATACATACATACATACATACAAGATAGACACATATCCATACATATACATAATATGAGTTCATATATGCAGGCACCATCGTGACCCCACCCACCCCCCAAGAAGAGGATCTTATTGTCTTGTTGTCCGTTCTTCAAGCCCCTGTGAACATCACACTGAGCACCAAGTCGCGGGCCAGTGTTATGCGCTGCGACGATCTCGAGCGAGTCCTGTAGACACGCGCAAACGGAGGTTTGGGGCCTGTAATGATTAATTACAAGTACAAGCACTAGGTAGTAGTGGTAGTAGTAGTAGTAGTAGTAGTAGTAGTAGTAGTATAGTAGTAGTAGTAGTAGTAGTAGTAGTAGTAGTAGTAGTAGTATAGTAGTAGTAGTAGTAGTAGTAGTAGTAGTAGTAGTAGTAGTAGTAGTAGTAGTAGTAGTAGTAGTAGTAGTAGTAGTATAGTAGTAGTAGTAGTAGTAGTAGTAGAAGTAGTAGCAGCAGCAGCAGCAGTAGTAGTAGTAGTAGTACAGTCCCCTTTACGTCGTGCCTCTACAAGTGCTACACGGTACCTTGAGAAATGGGGAAAGCTGGAATGGACGACTGGAGGACATCTCTTTCGTATGTGCCAGCTTTGTGATGGTCCAAGATTCCAGGATCTTGTAGGAGAGATTCTGCACTGAAGCCAGATACCGCGATTCTAGAGCGTGCTAGAACACTTGGCAACAGTTGGCCGCAACGTTGCTTGGCATGATTTTTGTTTCGCAAATCTGTTGCCGGAGGGCATTCCACCCAAAGATAAAGTGCAGCAGGACGTTTGGGCTACCCGGCTACTGTAGGGGCCTTAATCATTAGAATAGGGTTTTGGGGTTCCTTATTATAATCATAGTATTATACGCCCAAAACCATATTCTAACTATTAAGGCCCCTGCATTACCCTGACACCCACCTTGGAGGTCTTGCCTGTGGATTTGCCGGAGGCCACAGGCGCGATGTTTTCCATCTCATCCTTCCGAATGCATGGCTTGAACCTCGTTACGCATGAAAGTTTCAAGCCGAGAAGCCACGATGTAGGTAGGGGTGACCCACGCTCTCAGAAAGCCAGAGCTGAAACAGAAGGACCCCGACCCAAACAACGGAAACCGTTGGCAGTGATTTGCACAATGTCTGGAAATCACCCGGAGTCCCGGGTATCTTTGAAGGCTCGCCCTAAACAAATCCGGGGTGAGACGTGCCGATGCACAGCCGGTCGCAGGATGGGACGTAACAGATTCGATCCGCCCATTGGCTGGCTGTGGGGTTCTCTTGCTGCCTCTGCTGGAGGTCGTTACGTCTGGCATTCGGGTTCCCGTGCGAACTCCTGGTTTGATGATGGGCGGGGCAGGCCGCGATCGTATCAGTCTCGGAGATGGTTACAACTTACAACACAATTGGAGGGTCGGGAGCTGACGCAGAAACTGCGTGAGAATTCGCCTGGGGCTTCAAGGGTCCAACTTGCGAGGGCCACACAACAATGAGCTCGTCTTGCATGAGCCTCTCTAACCGCATGTGCGTTCTTAAGTCCAGTGCCCAGGGTCCCGAGAATGCAGCCTCAACCAATACTTGACCCCCCAGCTCCCAGTGAAACAGTGGCTTCACTAGATGCTGAAGGCGTCTGCTGCATGCAGACGCCGGTATGTGCCATCTAACGAAGAACTTGCAACTGCTTCATCAGTGCCAAAGAGGCATCGCAGCTGAAGTAGGAGAAGGCTCATCAGCAGAAGGTAGAAGGGCACAAAGCCAATGAAGCCCTGCTGGAAGACGTTGCCAGCAAGTCCATACACCATTCCGGTGCACAGGTAGCCATAGGTGAAGGTTGTAATGGCACTCAGAGCTGCCAAGACGAATTGCAATGTCTGTGATTGGACGGTGAAGGCCTTCTGTAGCATCCGAAGAAGAATAGGATACATAATAGGATAAACAAGAGCAATGACGGCAAGCCAGGTTAGCGTCTCCGAAAGGAGAGCCTTATCCACGGATGCCATCCCGTAGCGGGATCTGCAATCGTCACCGCATTGGAGAATGTCCACGGGAGCATATAAGATCATGGGAAGAGTAGCTGCCAATCACATCCGGTATGGCACATGGAGCTGACTGCCGACACTTTCCATCACCGCAGAACGAAGGGGATCACGAATGTAGCTGCTAAAAGCGTCCAGCGCTTCCTGCTCAGCCTGAATACTAGTCGCATGGATCTGGGGTGTCTCGGACATAGACGACATAGTGGACGGATTCGAGGTCGTCTGCAGGTGTTCGTAAGTTCCAGGAGAGGAGGCCGCATGAACCACAGGTTCGTCGTGTTGCGACATGAAAAGCCTCTGGACCTGCTGTTCCACCAGGACTCGGTCAGCCTCTATCGTGCATTGCGCAGCCCGGCAGTCGAAACAAGCCATCTGCTCCAGCATCAGCGCGTGGCCCTGCAGCTTAGCTTTGCAAGCGATGATCCATGGAACCGATGCCAGCGTGCCACAAGTCGCACCCATCAATACACCCATTACTGCCCAAACCGCATCTGTGACAAGCGCACCGGATGGCGAATTGACGAAGTTTCGAGGCAATATCCTAGTGCAGAAGGTTGTGACGGAGTTGACGATTTCCTCAGGCGCGTAAAAAGTCATAAGGCTACAGGAAGCAGCCACAAGGGAATTCGCCACGACCGCTGACAACAGCCAGGGGGCCAGCCAATGCGGCAAGAAATCAACCTTGCGAGCTCCTCCGTAACGTGCAAAGGTAGCCAGTTCTAACTGGCACCAAAGCCGCCGGAAGTATTCGTCATGTTGTTGTTGTAGATGAAAAACGACATCAGCTTGGACTCCCGAAAGAGCAGCTAGACGCCAACGCCACCCTTAGCAGTTTCACGCCGATTGACGCCGCTGCTGCCTGATCATGTTGACGAAGCGATCATGCCAGTCCTGCGTAGCTGCTCGCTGAGCTGCCACAGCATCCCGCACCCACTCAAACCTCTCGTCAGCGGCACGAGCCGCGTGAGCCACTGCTTGACTGCAAGGCTGCAAAGCCGAGCCAGCAGCAGCGTCTGCCCGCCTATTAAGAGCTCGACAAGCGTCGGCATCAATCCAGCCTGAGGGAGGCGTCCAAGAGGCCTGCTTGTTGTGAGCCGGAACCCATGCCACTTGCAGCCAACGCACCGCCTTTGCCACACGCTTCCACGGCCTCCAAGGGTCACCATTTTCGCACGCGGCCTCACCGCCAAGCAACCTGCCAGCGACAGCTTGGTTGTCCACGAGAAGTCGCAGCCACCGTCCGTGAAGAAGGAGCGCTTCAGCCAGTATGAAAACTGCAACGCGCTCACCTTCCGCCGCCGTCTGGTCCGGTCCTTCAACAAGGCCTCCAAAGGATTTGTCTGCAAAAGCGACGGCCCAGGAAGCCTGCTGAAAACCCTCCGCCTTTCTCGCAAGGAGGCAACCACCGTCAGTTGCCACGTAGTGGAAGAGGTCGCTGTCAAGCTCGCTCAAGTACTCTGCCACCTCACCGACCTGCACGCTGTAGTCCGCAAGCGGGCGCCGGGGAGGTAGAGGGCGAAGCGCCGCCAAGAACCGCCGCTCCAGCAAAGTCCGCCGCGCAGAGCTCCACGTAGCTCGAGGACAGTCAAAGGTCAAGTGCGTCCTGGTAGGGCCTGCAAAGCCACAAGTGCAAACCAAGTCCTGCACGTTCCCGTCTTTAGGCGTCAAGCTCCTCGCGTCAGAAGCTGCACCAACCATGACGCGCAGCGGGTAGGTTTGGGCCACGTCACGCGTTTTGACTTGGTAGTTCAAGTCAAAGTCGCCGTCAAAGCCACCAGCCTGCTTGGCCTTGTTGTCTTGCAAGAAGAGCTTGCGCGCACCGTCCTGACGCATGAGCCGTCGCAGGGCAGGAGCACCGACGTCGCCCGCCTGAAAGGAGCCATGGCGAGTGTGCCAAACACCTGCGTCGTCACGAGTCCAGCCAAAGTACCTCAAAGCAGCCTTGGTCTGAGGAGCCTCGCGCGGATGCCGCCCAAGCTGTAGTCTGCGGTGTTCACGTAGGACTGCAGTCTCCGCGTTGACGAAAGCCGGGTAGAGCTCAAGCCCCAGCACAGCTGCCCAAGCCAGAGCAGGCGAACGGCCTCTGGGTATGCTGCCGCCCCAGGCCGCTCGCTCGATGGCACCAGTCCATGCCTGTACGTCCTTCTTGTACTGTCGAAGCCAAGGCGCGGCCCAACGGAAAAGAGGAACTACCAGAAGCCGAAGAAGCGCGCAACGAAGACTCCTGGATTGCCCGCACAGTTGGATGCGCTTGCACCTCGCTTTAAGAACCTTGCCAACGGTGCCAGCAGCGATCGGAGAGGCCGCCGTGGTGTTGTAAGGAAGACCCAAAAGCCGAAACGTCTGCTGCGGAATGCCCACCTCGTCAGCTGCAGCCAACAAATCTTCTCTCACAGGCTGTGAAGTGCCAAAGCTCTCCAACTTAGCCGGATGCAGCTCGAAGCCTAAAGCCTGGTCTGCTTCCCTTCCCGCCACCATTGCCGCCCGCACAGCTCTGGCCGCACCACGGCGCTTTCGCACCCAGATGGCCCTGTCGTCAAGAAAAACCGACAAAGTACAGCCTGTATCAGCTTTCTTCACCGCCGCCAGCCACACTGTCATCATACTGTTGAGGCAAAGAGGAGAAAACGGGCATCCTTGCAGCAAAGCCGCAGCCTCAACCACAGGGTGCCTGGCACAGGCCCCCTCCACCATGAGCCAGCGCTCGTGAAGCTGGTAAAAGCGCTCGATGACAGTGAGCACGTTCTCAGGAGCCCCTAAACGTCGCATGCACTGCACTGCCAGCTTGGGGTCCGCAGAGTCAAAGCACTTCTTGACGTCTGCCTTACAGCCCGCAAGAGGCCCGCCACCACGTTGCAGGAAGAGAGCGTTGGAAAGAGCAGCATGAACGTCATCAATTCCTCTGTGCGGCATGCCACCAAACAGCTCCGCAGGAAAAACTTCGTGCACCCAACCGGTGAGCTGCCGAACCAGGCAAGTCGCGCCCAGCCTCCAAGCTAGCGCAGCGATGGCAAGAGGGCGCAAGCCACCATCATCCTTCGGAATGAGGCACACGCGTACCTGCACCCACGCGGCCGGCAGCGGGGCCCCATCAAGCACTGCGTTCCACACCGCCGCGAGGAGGTCAAAGAAAGCCTTCGGCAAAGCCTTCCAGAGGCTCCCAGTCCAGCCGTCGGAAGTATTCGTCATTGTTGTTGTTGTTGTTTGAAGCACGACAGCAGACTGGCACCCGAAGGCGGTCTCGCTGCCTCAACTGTGCCCGAAGGCGCAGCCAGTCACTTAGCGACCGCAAAATGCGATCACAGCCATGCCACGAACTCGAAGAGGAAATAAAAACTCCAGCCCTCGAAGTGAAACTTGAAAAAGCTCAGCCCGCCAGCGCTGCAGCACGAGCGCGAGGAACGTAAGACTCGAGAAGCGCCTCTCGAAAAGGTGCAGTCCGTTCCAGCTGAGTACGGTGAGCCGCCGCAGCCCAAACTCCACAGTTCTTGATGTGCCGCACCTTGTCCTCGAACTCGCCCTTGCCAGAGAATCGGCCTTGTCATTCAGCCGTCTGCAAATCTCAGCTGCGGGGAAGCCGTCAGGAGGCTGCCACTCGGTACACTTTCCATGCGATGGGATCCAGGCAGGCGTAATCAGTTGACAAGCGCCGGCGATGCATCGCCATGTCTCCCACGGGTCGCCCGCCTCACACCTGGACCTCCCCGCGTGAAGCCGGGCAAGTTGTCAATGAGGAGCTTGCCCTGACGATTGCCACGAGTCAGTGCCACCGCCACAATCAGGAGAGCAGTCCGCTCGTCGGCCGCAGCAATCTGCTCCGGTCCTGGCACCAGCCCAGAAAAACAAGCGCCCTCGTAGAAGACCACCGCCCAAGCTGCCCTCTGGTGAGCATCCAGGCCAGGATGGACCAGGCAGCCCCCGTCAGTGGCAATCACGATGTCAAAGTCGAGGGGGAGCCGCTGCACGTAGCGCACAACCTCCTCGATGCTCGCCTCCACGTCGCCGTCGACGAAAGCGGGGGCCACCAGTCCCAGGGGCACCAGCATCCGGCGCTCGACTGCAGTGCGTCTCGCAGCCGTCCACGGTCGGGCCTCGCAGTCGAATGTCACGTGAGTGTGGGACGGCCCCTGCTCACCACAGACACAAGGTAAAGCACACCGTCGCCTTGCCAACACTCTGCTGTCCACCACCGCGGCCGCAAGCACTCGAAGACCTGCCCAGTTGGTGGCGTGAACCTCCTTCTGGTGAAAGCTGAGCACAAAATCCTCTGCCACCTGCTGCCCCGCGACTTTAGGATCACGAAGGAGAAGACGACGAGTCCAATCATCACGAAGCGCCCTCCGCAGGAAGGCCTGGGAAACCTGGCCAGGATGGAAGGGTCCATGCGGCGTGCTCCACACATCTCCCTCCACTGTCCGGCCCATCTCCTTGAAAGCAGCCAAAGTGCGCGTAGCCCTAGCCAAGTGTCTGCCGTCGCGGAGCCGTTTCCTTTCGCTAAGCAAAGTGGCCTCAGTCAGAGCAAACTCGGGATGAAGGCTCACCGTAGCTAAAGCCGACCAGAAAATGGCCGGAGATCTGCCCGGAGGGGGGGCGCGGCCCCAAACAGCAGATTCGATGTGGGTGCGCCACTTATGCAGGTTGTGTTTGTAAAACCTCACCCACGGTGCGCACCATCGAAAAAGCGAAATCACCATGATGCCCACAAGGAACACTCGCTGCTTCACGGTAGGCCCAGCCCAACGAATGCGCCTGCATCGGCGCACAAGCTTGTCAGTGAGGACGCCAGCGTTAACCGGGTCAGCGCGGTCCACGTTGTACTTGACTCCAAGCAGCGTGAAGGTCACCTGGGGAATCCCGACCACGTCAGAAACTGCAAACAGCGCCTCACGAGTGCCATGAGAAGTGCCGAAGGACTCCAGTTTGTCAGGATGGAGCGTGAACCCCATGACGGCGTCAGCCCGTCCGCCTTCCAACATTGCCTGATGCACTTGCGCGGCTGGCCGGGCTCCACGGTTCCACAAAGTCCTGTCGTCAAGAAAAAGCGCAAACCTAATCTCCGGAGAACGAAGGCGAACCGTGCGGCACCACACCGCCATAAGGCAGTTCAGCATGAGCGGGGACAGCGGGCATCCCTGAAGTGCCGCCGCATCCTTAACCGGACGAGGCGCGACGAAGCACTGGTTCGTGATCCAGCGTTCATGGCTCCGGTAAAAACGCTCCAGCAGTGCAGCTATGACCGGTGGGCCACCCAACCATTGGAAAGCTTCGGCAGCAAGAGTCGGCGATGCCGTGTCGAAGCACTTGCGAATGTCCGCCTTGCAGCCAGCAAGAGGGCCTCCGCGTCTCTGCACAAACATGTCTCGGCAGAGGGCAGCATGGACATCAGAGGTGTCCCGGCCCGACACTCCGCCACACAGCTCAACAGGAAAAGCACGAGAGGCCCACGAAGTGAGCTGGGCGAGCGCTCGCTCCCAACCTCCACGCAAGGGCTGCTATGGCTAACGGCCGTGTGCCGCCATCGGACTTCGGAGTTCGGCATGAGACAGGCTCTCACTTGCAACCATGGGGCCGGAATGTCGGCGCCCTCCAAGACACGTTGCCAAATGCCCGCTAGCTTGTCAAAGAACTGACGTGGCAAAGCGGCCCAGAGCTTGCCAGTCCAACCATCACAACCTCCAGCTTTACGGGCAGCCGCTCGCGCACGTCGGTAGAGGTCCGCGCCGTCAATGGTCAAGCCACCTTGGAAAACGGGCCTCACGGCAGGAGGCCTGCCCTGTCCAGGTTGTGCACCAAGCTCACGCAGGAAGTCCCAGAAGGGGTGGAGCGGTGGCCTCCCCCTCCGGTTCCACATACGGTCCCAACTTTGGTGGGTTTTGCTGTTCCGTACTTATATGTCGAGTTATATGTCGGTCATGTGCAATTATAAATCATGCAAGGCCATTTATAAGTAGTGTATTGACATAGCAAGTGAGTTGTAAGTCCATACAGAGTTATATTTGCCTTATAACTAATTGAAGGAGTTAAGGCTCCACTTATAAGTCCCAGTCAAGTCCTCGCTAAGTAGTTATAAGTGGGAGTTATAAGTCCGCCGTAAGTCCACTCGCTGGGAGTTATAACTCCGACGCCCCCGCAACGCTATTTCCCGAAAATTGTATCCGTGGGCAAAAAATTGAACCGCCCAAACCAAAAAAAACGTCGCCTGAAGTCCGAAATCCAACCCCCCCAAAACAAAAAAACAACGAGCCTCAAGTCGAGAATTTAACCGCACCAAAACCAAAAAAAAACGTCGCCTGAAGTCGAAAATTGAACTCCCTCAAAACTAAAAAAAATTAGCCTCAAGTCGAAAATTAATTCACCCAAACTCAAAAAAACGCATACCTGAAGTCGAAAATTTGACACTTGTAAGTTGCAAAAACATGCCAGCTGAATGCCAAAATCTGCCAGCCCAAGAACCAAACGATGCTACCCGAAACCGGGCCCTTGACCCCAAACCCCAAGCCGTCTTAACCTCAAACCCGAACTCCAAATCCGCTGTGAACGTGGCTCTAAATCAATGCATGGAGGCATCGCCCCGTGCATCTTGTGCAGGAGGCTTCGCCCCTGCATGCACTGCATGGGCATAGCAGCACGCATGACACAGCAGACAGACACACACGAAGCCAGACGCACTGCAGACAGACACATGTGCAAGCCCATGGCATATATAGAACATGCAGGAAAGTTCCTGAAACCTCAGCAGCGGCACAGCTGCTTCGTTGCGGTCGCCATGGACAAGCGCCCGGCGAAGTCCGCGGCGAAGGGAAAAGGAAAAGGAAAGGACCCTGAAGAGAAGGGAAAGGGAAAAGGAGAAGGAAAGGACCCTGAAGAGAAGGGAAAGGGAAAAGGAGAAGGAAAGGACCCTGAAGAGAAGGGAAAGGGAAAAGGAGAAGGAAAGGACCCGGAAGAGAAGGGAAAAGGAAAAGGAGAAGGGAAGGACCTCCAAGAGAAGGGAAAGGGAAAGGGAAAGGAAAAAGGAGAAGGGAAGGACTCCGAAGAGAAGGGTCCGGGAAAAGGAAAAGGGAAGCGCCCAGAAGAGAAGGGTCTTGGAAAAAGCCAAAAAGGAGGGAAGGACCTCGAAGAGAAGGGAAAGGAAAAAGGAAAAGGGAAGTGCCCCGAAGACAAAGGAAAAGGAAAGCACGTCAAAGAAGAGGATCCCTCAGAGAAGGGAAAAGGAAAAGGGGAGGGCCTCCAAGAGGAGGAGAAAGAAGAAGGGAAAGGAAAGGGAAAGGAAAAGGAGGAGGAGGAGGAGGAGGGGCCCATCATAGACGAAGTCTACGATGGGCCCTACGAGGTCCAGGCGGGGACCCTGACGGCCGCTGAGCGAAGCGAGATCTTTCAGGCCACGGGCATGAGGGTCTCGCTTCGCTTGAGGAACTCCTGGCAGGGGCGAGCCATGGTCCTGACCGGCCCCAAAAGCGGTCACTTGCCGGAGGCTTTGTCCAGGCTTGGCGGTACATGAAAGCGTCAGCCAAGGCAAAGCCCCCGGCAAGGGCCTCGCCAGCGGCCGCTTCCACTCCAGCTCCAGGAGCGAAGCCGGCGAGGCCTCGCCCGCCGCCAGCAGCCAGGCCACCCACCTCACCCTGGCCCCACGCCTTCCCGCAGGCATGGCAAGCCCCGCCCCCGCCGTTCCAGCCCTCCTTCCCAGCCCAACCTGCCTTTTTGGACCAGCAACCTGGCTTTTTGTGGCAAGGCTTCCTCGCGCCACCGCCTTTAGTGCCAGGGCTGCCTGATCCCTGGCTGCAGGCCGCTCAACGTGCGGAAGCTGCAGCGGCCAGGTCGGAAAACGCGGCCAGACAAGCAGAAGCAGCATTGCAGGCAATGCACAAGCTGCAGCTGCGGCCGCCGCCGCCAAAGGCCCGGAGCAGCTCCTCCGACGAGGCCGGGCCTAACACACATGCAAGTTGTAATCACACATGGCTTCGCCTGTGTGATTACAAGTAAATGTGCAGAAGCACCTGTGGCTTCGCCCTTGGGCTTCTGCACAAGGGTACACACATATATATATATATATATATGTATACATACAAATTTATATATACATCTTTACTCTTCCTTTATACATATATCTTTATATAGAGACATAGATACGCCTCAAATCCTGCCAACAACCGACAGGGGAGCTCCGCCAGCTCGGAAAGCCCAAGGGCTCCCGCCGCTGTCGAAGTGAAGCCGGCGCCGAAGGCCAAACCATAAACCCCTAAACCCTACACTCTAAACCGTGGGGTCAACCAGGCTCAACCAAAACCCCCCTATATATAATAGGCCTAAACCCTAAAACCCTGAAGGTCGGCTCAGACTCGTCCGAGAGCTCAGAAGCTGAGGAAGCCCCGCCGGGCAAGGTGCAGGCGAAAAAGGAGGCAGAGGAGGAAGAGGAGGCCGGGCCCTAAACCTTAAATCCAATATTCCATCCTTAAACCCTGAAGGTGGCCAAAGCCGCACCTGCGGGGCAAGATCTACCGATGAAAGAGGAGGAGGCCCGTTTTTATAAGCCCTAAACTTATAAAATATAATTAGGGAGAAACCCTGAACCCAAAAAAAGCCTAAGACTTAACAACATGCAGGTGGACTGTGGACTACGAGGAAACACCGGTGCTGCCGCAGGAGAAGCACCTCTCTCCCACGTCGGAGGCTGGCCCCGGCAGTGAAGCGGAGGAGGAGCCTCCCGTGCCGTCGGACTGCCCCGACAAAGAGGCGCAGGAGGAGGAGGACGTGCCCTTGCCAGGCGTAGGGTCCAAGAGCAAGGCCCCTTCGCCTTCGCAGTTTCCTCGTAGCTGGCCTGCCCCACCTCTCAAGAAACCGAGGGAAGGCTAGAGAGTGTGAGACTTCAGGCAAGAGACCTGGAGCAGCTTTAATCGGCGAGGCTTCGCCCGCCCGCATGTGCATGCACGCAGCACGCCATGCATGCACACAGCCATGGAAAACAGGGCTCAACTTTTTATGCACGCATGCATGCCACACATCTGCATGTTCTGTGTGAGCGAGGAATTGGTGATTCGATGTTTTGAGCTCTTATCGGCTCGTATACAGTTGAAGCATACAAAAGCAGAAACCCTTTTGCACAGTGCCCGCCTGAAACCCTAAACCCTAAACCCTTAAACGATAGACGCTGAACCCTAAAACGTGTAGATGTATCTATATACAAATATGCATACAGAGTAAAAACTCAGATCCTTTGCGAGATATGTTAGGAGCAAGCCTGCTTGGTCAAGGCCTCGCCTGACCATTTCTGTGGATGTCAAGGCTCGCCTGACATGAGCACCGTTGCCATGGATGGCGCTGAAGCGCCCCTTGCAGGCTGAGACGCCGAGGAAGAAGCTGCCAAGGGCGATTTCCTTCTCTACGCTTGCAGACCTGCAGGACTCAGGGAAGAATCTGGATCATCAACGGAAGGTCATTCGTGAAGGCCTCCGCAGACCGCTGGAGGAGGACGGGCCATGTGGCAGAGTGCTGGATTCTTTAACTGTGCCACTCGATGGTGAGCCATGGCAGTGGCACATTGTGCGGCCAGCTGCTTTGCTGCACAGACTGTGCAGCATCAACAGAAACTTCGGCGACCTCGTGGCCGTCTGTGAAAACGTGGTGGTATACGCAGACGAGATTGTGCCAGGAAATGTGCTGAGGCCTGATAAAGGTCGAGAGCAGCTGGCCTTCTATTGGACTCTGAAAGAGCTACCGACCTGGTTTGTCGGCAGAGACCAAGGCCAGGGATGCTTAAAATACGCGGATCGGGATCAGGACAAACGTAGCTGTCATGTATAATTGGGTGAGATGTTTCATCAAACTCCCTGAGGATGGCTGTTTTTCGGCTCGTTTCCAACGAGCAAGATCTCAGATGTCGAGGGCGGCTACAGCTTTCTCTTCGGCCTCATGCTGGAGTGCTTCTTCGACCTGCAGCAGGACGGCCTCAACTTTGCAACAGGCCTCCCGCTCAGCAGGAGGTCCGGGCATTTTAACTTCAAGCCCAAGTTTGGATTCTTGATTGCCGATGCCAAGGCTCTGAAACAGCTCTGGAACCTCACTGGTGAGAATGGTACAAAGCCCTGTTTCTGCTGTGCGAACGTGGTAGGCAGGATGTCGCCCGAATCCATTGCCAACCACGACTATTTGGTTCATGTCAGCAGCTCTGACAAGGACCGCTTCCAGCTGCACACGTCGGATACTGGCAAAGCGATGGTGCGAGACCTGGCCGATTTGGCACACCGCCCGAACGAGCAGAAGAAGCTCGGTCAGCTTTGTGGCCTGCAGTACCACGCCAAAGGCCCGGAGGGTGTGCATGACCAAACAATCAGTCTGATGTATGTGGTTGTTTGCCTTTCGCTCTTATATTTAAGGGCAGAGAGTTCTAATAACGAAAAACACACAGGGACACAGAGCCTGGAATCATTACACTTCAGCATGCAGCCCCCTTTGAGGCGCCCTGTGGAATCCTCGTCTCCCGATGCTGAACCACGTCGAGCAGACCATGTATGACTGGATGCATGTGCTCGTTGCGAGCTCGGGTGTGGGCCAGTACGAGGTGAACGAGTTTGCGAAGGAGTTGCAGACGACCTGCAATCTGCGCTTCGAGTTTCTCGACGACTTCGCAAACACGTTCAAGCTGCCAGCATGCTACACCTCCCTGCCGAAGACCCTTTTCCAGGACCGGGTATGCATGCAGCCCGACTCTTGCATCAGAGGCTTTGGCTCGGAGATGCTGGTGGCGGTCACGATTCTTGTGGCCCTTGTCCAGACCGTGCTGGACCCGGCCGGTCTTCTTCCCCAGCACTGCCGCTGCATGAAGCTCCTCGGCGACATTTTGGATATCTTGTCGTC